CGCTAATCTTCGGAATGTGAACATGGCTGTCGTTCACTGGTAAAAAGCGCCGTTGCGATGTTGTAAAAGACGTACCAGCAAAGTATCCATGCTGGACGAGTCTGCGAGAACTTGGAGGATATGGGACGCCTCGTAAATATCTAGGGTCCTGTCTCCCGTATCCGTAGGGCTGATTCCGCAGCTTAGCTTACTTTAGTGCAGGCGGCGACTGTTCACGCGACGCGAACCCCAGACTCGCGGCTCAGCCTCATGATCGTATCAGCCACAACAACTCCACCCACACATTACTTTGCTCTCGGCGCATCCACCATACCGGTCAGGCCTCCACCATGATTATATACTATCATCCTCGCCCACCGTGACCCTGTCATTGCGATCGCACTTATGTGCTCATCTTCTTAATATAACGAGCTGGACTGTTTGTTGGTCGCACCCGGTTGTCGTACTCTCGAATCTCGTTGGTGGTCCTTGACGAATGGTGATCCTTGAATGCCCTCGCTCCTAGCTCACGACATAGCTCCGGCAAGCTTCAGCTCCTTGGACGAATATCTGGTATATCATGGCTAGTATAAGGATGCGCAACTCGGACTCCCCGCCACCGATTACAGTTGAAGATACGGCGACGGGCGCAGGACCGCTGCCGAGTCCTGACATGGACGGTATGAATGGTGAGTGGCCCCGGGAGGAGAAGAAAAGAAGTACGAAAGACGTTCGGAAAGAATAGCAGACTGGCGTGGATCATAAACAGTGCCTAGGATTGCTTGTTGGTCCCTGAACATTGCCAGGCTGGGTGTTGCGCTGGCACATGCCACGAATGGCTGATTGAAAGGATCCCTTGCTAACGTCTAGAACAGCCCCGCGAGCATTTACCACGTCCACACATCCGTCCCTCGAACGCGAACAATCGCAGCCTCAACCGCATGAACACCAGAAAGGTCCATTTGGCCACCGTCGCAAGCACAGTCCAAATCTCGAATGGCGAGAACCTTGGACAAAGGAAAGCTGGTCGCAAGGACGCGTGCTGCTTATTGACTATGTCGCAAAAGAACATTCAACGAAGGGCAGGCGGAAGATCATGGCACAGGAGTTTTGCGACATTGACAGCTTGCGCCGTTTCTACCGGAAAGAAGACCTCTCAGCGCAAGCTGCGTTGCGCGTGATCCACGTGCAGAACGCGAGCTGGGCAACGCGCTACCTCCTCCGGAAGTTCAACATCGACGCTACAGACGATCTTATAGGCACGAACTTCGGCCGCTGGGCTAGCCACGACAAACCTCAACAACGTGGCGGCAAACCTGTTCTCAATGGTCGTACGTTCCGCGCTCAACACGATCCCTGGCGTGGCATTTCGCGCGCAGCCTTCGGCGCCGATTACCTCAAATCCTACGAAAGAGGCACCCATATCCCACGTCCAAATAGCAACAAATCAATAATGGAGTTAAATCACTACGACGAGTCGGACCAGCCACGATACGGACACGATGTCTATGTACAACGATTGAACGTATATGTGCAGCTTAGCGACGGTACACCCGGCCAAGCCGTCGATCCCGACATACCAAATCCGTACGACGAGGAAGCATGGGAAGAGTATATGCGGTTGAAGAAGAGTTACGGCAACGTAGATGCGAATGAACACCAAGAACGCTACATCCCTAAGCTTCGCTCTCTCGACAACGGAAACACGATCATTCTGTTTGAAAACTCAGTCACTGGCTCCGTCAAAGATACCCTTATTGGTGCCAGACAAGAACTCGAATCCCGTTGGAGACGTCTCTCCTTCTACCTTCCCATGGAGGAGAACGATGAAACGTTGACAGCGGAGTGTATGGATTTCATCCTCCAGGATATTTTCAAGGCGTTGAGCTATAATTGGCAGAAGTTCTTAGCCATCTGCGAGACACATGTTGGCATCCTTGAAGACAAGAGTGAGTAGGAGCCTACCTCCGGCCGTTCAAGTAGTCTGTTTCGCTAATTCCCAACTACAGTCTACGAAAACCCTGCTGACGAATCCCGCGCCCCCGAGCTCTGGAAGAACAGTGCGCAATGGCTCAAGATCGAACGCCTCATCTACATCCACGTCGACGTCATCAAAGAAATGGTCACACATCTTCATGACCTTGCCGGCGCCGACCCAAAGGAATCGTCAGACCAGCCTTGGTTAGGCTCCGTGCCAGACGAGCTAGATAAACTGACTGGGCAGTGGGAAAGAGATGTCATCCTGCCTACAACCGCTCTGTCAGACCTCATGTACAAGAGTGTGGGTATCAGAGATGCCCGACACTCCTTGCAATTAGGCTTGAGTATGTGGCGATTGAGTTGGATCACGTTCATGTACGTAACCCCTAACCACCTATCCCATCGGCTGTCCAAACTAACAAGACTAGTTTCCTGCCCTTGACCTTTACCGTCGGTTTCTTCGGCATGAACGTTTCCACGTTTTCTGAGAACCCACCGCTGAAATGGTGGTTCATCGTTTCCATTCCCGTCCTCGCCGTCGTCCTCATTCTCTGGTACGGCGTCAAACATAATCTCGCTAGCCAACGCCAGAATCCCATGCGTAGAGGTGTGTACGAATCGTTGTATCATGAACTTGCTACTGCGCAACCATCGCTATGGAGCAGAAGCGGTCCGCGCGACGATGTCATACCAGTAGGGCGGTGGGCAGGCATCAAATGGCGACTTATTACCCGCTGGTTTGGCGAGGACAAAGTCAAGCTAGGGAAGACTGTAGATGGAGGTGAAGATTTCGGCGTCGTCGGCAGAGTCCGCAGGGCGTTGGTTAGGAGGTGGCTGGGCGAGTTGGCTGTTATGCGTCTGCCCCAGCAACCTTCACCATTGTCACCAACTGAGAAACCGGGCGGTGATGAACGGTCGAGTAGCAGGAGTTCTATCCGGAGCGAAGTGGCATCTTGCATGATTCAGCCTTTTGAGCCAAAGGAAGGCGGTGCCGTGGCTGAGCTGGCGAGGGTTGCGACGCCGGTTGCGCTGGCGGATGCGGATCCTACGGCTGCTAGTCGGCTGCAAAGGAGTGGAAGGGGAGAGAGGATGAGCAGTCTGAGTCCGCAGGGGAGGAGGGGGAGTGCGGCGAGTAGTGATGGGGCTGGGGTGATGGTTGAAGAGAAGGGAGGGAGTGGGGATGAGCGCGAGCCCAGGATGCGTGATAGACGGGTTGGGAGGGAGAGGACATTAGATGTACCGAAATGAGATGGGTGACTTAGGGTAGACACGCTATCTTGTCATCATTAGAAACTGAGGAGACTCTGTTCTATGAGTGACATGGTGAGACTGTCACATCAATTTTGCAGATCCCATGCGCGCGAACCTCGAGGATTTGGTCCCGTCAAGATACATGCTACATGTGTGCCCTGTGGCCCAAGCTCTGGGCACGCTCGACGTATAAATACTCTCGTTGCGTTCTTTACTTTCTTCTATCACTTACAACGTCTATTACGGAATCAAAAATAATGCAGTACTACTTGATGGACTTGTGTCCTCTTTGTTCCAAAATTGAAACCCCATCCTTGATGTGCTGCGTCGTGTCTTCCTCCGAAAAGATACACCAAACCAGGAATGGCCGTCTCTCTCTGCTATGTCTGAATTTAAAAGTAAACTCGACACTAGCCATGGGCCAGCCTGAGTTGCTATCTCGTTTTCAAAAACATCGATGAAATGGGACATAGTGGCTCTGGTTTTCGGATGATATTTATACTTTCATTGTGGGAGGAAGAGGTGCACCGAATGAAAAATATCTGCGTTCTATCTTTACACCACCTCTGTCGGCCAAACTCAGCGCCTGCCGAGTATATAAAACCTACTGGATGCGCCTGGTGTCTTTCTTCTACAAACCCACATTATTCTTCATGACTTCAAAAATCCGCATCATACCGAATGGGTGCGCCGCCTCCTCGTTCCTCGAGAAATGAGCATGGCTGGCAATCATGTGCTGCCTCATCTTCTCAAAACTCTATCTGCTACAATGGATGTGATGTGTCCTCTTTTCTATCCTCGAAAACGAACATATCAGGAACATGAATGTTATTTCGCCTTCTTTGGATCTAAAGTCCCATAAACCAATGTATAAGCCGAACATGAGGGCAGCCGCATATTCAAAGGATTGACTGTGATATTCATAGTTCGCGATGGCTTTCTCTTGCTGCTTACGGTGATAGGAGGGAGCAGCGCACTGGCGCTACATCAAAGAGAGAAACTAAAAATCTCTTTAGAGCATGCATAGGTAGCTCTCTTCGTAAGTTCTCTTGTTGGGAGCTAATGTAAGCTGCAAAGTAAGGCTTGCCATGTCTATACATGTTTAGTTTTTCCCTTGTATGTGGTGTTGGGACTCAGGCCAAAGAATTAAATCAGTGTGTTGTACTCTCCATACTCTTCGAAAGCAACATTAATATCGACACATATCCTGTGTTCTAGTTTCTTTCTCTGAAAGGTGCAGTGGAGTAGTGGTTGTGAGCTCCACAAAAGCGTCGAAACACCAATCATGTTACCAATCCACCAGGTGTCTTTTGACGGGACCGAAACAATAAAGTTTGGAAGCCTCCACCACAGGACATTTGAATCAGGTGAGAAATGCCTAGGAGTGATGTTACTTCCGGCTAGTGGCGACTGTGACAGCAGAGACGGCTAAGGTGATGCTTGGTCTGGAAATGACGTTTATGGTCACCAACTCAAGGGAAATACGAGTCCCTTAGCGTCTCCACTATAGGCAAGTAGGCAAGTGACTTGTTAACGGAGTGGCGGTGCAACTTTCCTACACAGCGAGTTGACCGACGTACTGCCTGTATGTAAGATAGGCTCAATGCGCTGTGAAGGTCGTAAGACTACTCACTGTCCGCATCGTGGGAGAGGCGTAGACGTTATATCCAAATATAGCGACATGTGGACCGTGGTTGTTGATTTGCAGTTAGTGCCCGGGACAGCCTTGTCCTCATGTTATGTTGCTTGCTGCAAAGGGCAGTCTCGGCTGGCGATCTCGGCCTGTTTATGACGTGCAACTCCCCGAATCAGCAAACCTTCCCGCACCTACGGCTATTTACCGTATTGACGATTTAATTGATCGGCACGACTATGCATTGTTTAAGGGTGCAACTTCGTGTTGGCACAACTATTCATTATATATAAGGTATTCGTCTTTGCTGTCTGTTTTCTGCATCTTCACACGCCCACTCTACACGCTCACCAAATACACCTCTACATATCTATTCTCAATACGAACTACTAGAACCTCAACTTCACAATGGTTTCCTTCACCGCTCTCGCTCTTCTGGCAACTTCTGCCATGGCCGGCCCTGTCGCTCGCCAGATCGCAATCCCCGAAAACTGGGATTGGCAAGTTGAGAACTGGGAGGCTGGTTGCGGTCGATCCGGCTGCTACTACAACTTCAACGTTACCGTACCGACTATCAAGGGAGAGATCGCAGGTGTAAAGGCATACTGCCACGGCTACGAACAGGGATACGACAACAGCTTCACCGTCCCTTCAACATACGAGACTTGCCAGCTGCTCGAGGGTGTCAACAACGGTGTTGCTGCTAGGTTTTCTTTGAGGGAAAACGATGGCCAAGGATTTGGACCCAAGGAGATTGAGGTCAGCTTCCTGTACGCTGGATATGAGGACCGGTAAGTTACCATCACTATTGCGAACTATGATCAAGAACGTACGCTGACTTGACATGACAGCCCTGCCTACAACTTCTCCGGCAGCCACGAGGCCAGGTACAACCAGTTTGTTGCACCACAACTCAACTTCACCATCACCCCTACAAAGGTGTTCGGTATCGCATAAACGTGGTTGTGTGAATCGGAACGGCAGAGAGCTCCCTTAGCAACCTTATGTCGAGTATAGACCACAAAGAATAATGTTAATGATTATAAAACAAATCAACATGAAAAACCTCGCGGTATACGCGCGCATAATATGATGGTCGTGACTAGAGATGCCTACCTAGGTAGTCTTTGAGCCCGATGTTGTACTATGCTTGATATTTAGCAAGCATGCTGAGATGTATGTAGCTGACAAACGATGGGCAGCAGTTGCTCAACACCGGTTACGAGCCGTCACACTTTGACTGACAACGCCTCGACACTAAAATCCGGAGATTAGGAAATAGCGATACCCGCTGATGAACCACATTCACAGACGACGACGGCGAGATGTATGCGAACGTAATGCAAGTCATGTTCAATAAATGACAACATGCTTGAGTAACACTGTATTTTGTGCACTAGAAGGACAGCCTCGCGCATGCGTCGTACGGCAATTCGCGCACGTCGAGCGGTGCCAATCTACCTAGGTATGGAAGATTCATGAATGCGCCGGTTGTTCTACTAGCTTTCGCCGCTTGATACCCCCTTGACCTCTAACGGCGAGTTGTATGAATCCATACGGGACATGAGCGGGACTTATCCGGTTGAGTACAACAAAAGAACTTATGACGAGACACGTCTTCGCTAGTGTCATAGCCGAGGTAGATTGGTAGATAAACATCGCATGCGCCAGCGTCTTCGACTTCTACATTACATCCCTATGAAGGTGTCTATTGTCCAGAAGACTGATAACAAAAAAGTGGATAGCTATTCAATTAGAGGCGCATGCATCTTGTCCAGGGGTTCGTCCGGGGGAGATAATTCAGATTGGTCCTTTTTGGCCTAGCCTAATCTCTGCATCTCACCTGTCCACATCCACTAGTGGAGCTGACAGCGCTTCGCCTCAGCCTCGCGCCTCAGTTGCCTAGTCTTCGAAAGCGACACCCCCGACTGTTTCAATGACTTTTCTCCACTCCCGCAGACCAACCGCACCAAGCCGGCATGTCGCCGAGCATGCAAAGACGCCGGTCTCCAGAGACCACCCGGGATGTCCGGCACAAGATACGCGACAGTTTTCATCGTCACATTACGCGTCCTAGGCGCAAAGAATACGCTAACTACATCGGTTTTGAGCATATCAAATCCGCTTGGGCAGACCTTGAAACGATCGAACAAGCTCTTCCTTCGATCGATAAGGAACAAGCGATTCTCATACAGCAAAATCTCCCAAGATTCCTTTCTATCCTCATATATCTCAACGCCGCAGATTGCCTCGATAACTTCCATGATCGCTTCTTTGACCAGGGCGGAAGGCCTTTGTATTCAGATGCGGCTCTACCTCTTCCCGACGAAAGCATACCAAATATCGGGGATAACGTGCTCAAAGAAAGGTTCTTCGAGGATCAGCATATCTTCACGCCAGTCAGTATTTGATTCGTCATAGACTACAAACAGTATTATCTCTGACATACCACAGGTGATAATTGATACGACTGAGGATGTCATGCAGATAGAATTCAGGCGCCGCTTACCTTTTGAGAGCGAGAGTGATCATCCGACTAAAGGCGCCTATGGCGAAGTTAGCAGAGTCACGATATCGGCATCATGCTTCAAAAACAGAGAAGGTGACATTGTTGCTGCGGTAAGGTACAATGTTTCTCGATCACTATATCTTGCTGACAACAGTAGTCAAAGATCGTTGCCTGCAAGCGCTTCCCAATCGCCGACGACGCAGAGAAAGAAGCAAAGACACTAAGCATCTTGAAGAACAGCACCATGAAACATGACCACATTCGTTATCACTATGCTGTTCTTCTGCATAGAGATGAGCATATCATTCTGTTTCCATGGGCGGACAAATACGATCTGGATTTCTTTCTCCTTGAAGGAAACGACACTTATGTCTTTGATAAAGTGTTCCCCGATCTGTCACGTGGGTATGCTCTGTCTGCCATGTGTACGCAAATGGCAGAGATTGCATCTGCTCTAGACTGGCTCCATAAAAGCATTAAGGTCGAACAAAAGCATGTTCCGCTCGCGCATTTGGACTTGAAACCAGACAACATCCTTATCGAGACTGATACCAATTCGATTGTGGGCAGATGGGTTTTGACCGATTTCGGCATCTCTATAACCCAGGAAAAGGAGGGAAACGGCCAGTCCGACTTATTCTCTCTCGGAGATTTTGTGAATGAGAGGCTGACAAGGAGAACTACGTCATCCAAAAGTCCCACAACTAGCCACTACGTACCCGAAAAATGGACGATGAGAGTTGCTCCACCCCGCAAATTCGGAACATATCAACCCCCAGAAGTCAGTCACCTGATCTCAAGGTCTGCAGGAACAAGTGGTCGTACCATGAGCCGGTATGTTGGTCGCAGTGGTGATATCTGGTCATTTGGCTGCATACTCGCCGAAGTTTTTGCTTTCTCCATGGGCCGCCGTGCCGCTGTAGAGTCTTTCGGGAACGCACGCGTGGAAAATGGCAATGATGACTTTTGGTCGCTCATAGGAGAGAGACCGGAACCTCGAAGAAAGGTGCGAGACTGGCTGTTGGAATCACCGAAGATGTTTCCGAATTCAGATGTTACACCAGATACTGCTGCTAAATCGATTGAGGCTATCGATTTCATCCTCAAAGTCGACAGCAAAGATCGGCCAAGCGCATCGGCAGTTAACGATAAGATTTCGCGTCTTGCAGCTTTTGTGAAAAAAGAAACCCAAGCAGCAATGTCACGCTCTATTGAACCAGAAGGCACTGGACAAATGCGAGAACCGTATATGCAACCAACAAGAGTCAGCCCTACTGTGCCGCTCCTTGTCAACCAGGAAAATGTAGTCAGACCCTTGCACCCTCCGTTCGACTTTGAATCTGAGGAATTCTACGCTGTTTTTGATTCAAATCTAAAAACGCCTGGTTCTACTGGAAGACCAGTCGATAGACCTGCTCGAGCACCACACAATAAAATGCCTGAGACGATCACTACGCGAGACCCGGACGTCAATCCCCCCTTCTCAGATCGTCCAGAACCAACTCAAAAACCTCCAAGTCCGAAGGAAATTGCGACTCCGCAGAGCATACTTGATTTCAATGGGAAGTTGAGATCAGTTGCCACGACAAAACTGGACGCGAAAGCATCCGGAGAGACGGTTGTGTCCGCCGTAGCTTTATGTCCTTCGGGACGCCGTCTGGCCGTAATCACAAATGGTCAAGGTGACTACACTCTGAAGAACTACGAAATATCTTTAGAGTCAAGAAAAATAGGACATGAAGTCAACTCTACAGCTCTGCAACGAAAGGTGGAATGGAAAAATGTCTCAATATGCAATAATACACTTGTTGCGTGGGGTCATTCGCCACAAGGGTACAAACAGGTATGCTATTCAAGAGATCATATGTGCAAATAGCTTATGATCATCTCAGATCTTCCTCGCGGACACACAGACAATATTGAGCTCGAAAGACTATCCGTGCCTCGGAGAGCTACGCAAAGTTCTGATTTCAACAGATGGGTGCATCATCATCGTTTGCGAAAACTGGAGCATTTGGTATCTTCATCACACGTAAGGATCAAGTGAATGTTTTGAATTACACCTACCTGATTTTGTTAACATTGTCTAGAAGAAATCATGCTGTGCCACAACCGCTCGACACAAGTGACAACGAGAGAGCAGGATTCTACGTAAATGCGGCCATGGACAACAGCCTTAACTTACTCTATATCTGGTCAAGTGGAGGCGGGTACCACTACTTGCATTGGTGGCGCATAGAAACAGTCGACCAAAAAGTGAGGCTTGTACAGCATCATGAAAAACAGTTCCCAGCAGTAAGCGGGTCACCCTTTTGCAATATCACTGAACTGACATAAGTAAAGAGGCGTGGCGTTGATCCTAAAGCCGAGCTATATCCATTCCAAGGCCGTGAAGGCTGCCTAATCCACTTGGGCGCAGGCAGATATTTTTCTAGCCTCAAAGCTCCTTCCCTCGATTTTGCCCAAGTCGGTGACGCAACGACTAAGGTCTGTGTGTTCAGAGACCATTCGATGCTGTTTACAAAGAGTGGAACGTGGAATCGTAAACGTATCAGCATCATGGAAAGGCGAATCAATCAGACTAGTCATGAGATAGAGACCGAGCTGAATGATGAGCAGCGTCGGCTTAAAGTCAACTTAAAGATTGCGGCAAAGTCTGTCGTTGAGATGAAGACAGTCTCACCTGCAGGTAGTGAGGAGGATATCATTCTCGTTCTTCATACCGATGGAACGTTGTTCTTTGTGCCGATAGTTCAGTCACATGTTTCTGCTAATACTACCTAGCTCGTATTGAGACATTGTGCTACCGGACTCGAGACGTTTGTGGCCTCTCCTTTTTGCGGTGCGCCGCGTCGACTGCATTTTTATGCAGACATAGATACCCCCAGTAATTAATGTGAGAGGGAGCCATACCGCAACAAATATCCAGAAGTCTGGTGAAATTCTCAGTCGCCCCGTTTCTTCATTGAACATAAAGACATTCATGCCTAATAGAGTCTAGAACATACATGAGCGCTTGCGACTGATGGAGTGCAATAAACTTACAGCAATGAAGCTTCCGGGCAGGTAAACAGCAGACACGAAGGTAATGATCTTGACAGTTGCGCTATCGTCAACATTGTCTTGTGTTAGCCTATTCAGACCTTCTGTTAGATCTCGGAGCTCTTTTTCGACCTTCGCGGACTCGAGCTGGTTGTGTAATGACAACGTATAACCAACAAGGTCGATCAGATTCTGTATGCGCTCTGCCAGGACATCTGTGCTTGCGACATAGCCACTTAATTTTGTTTTATGTCCGTCTAGAACAAGTCTTGAGCCTGGCGGTTGTGCGAAACAGTGCGCAAGGTGGTCGACCAGATCCAAATTACCTGCGCAACAAGCACGCGCAAAGACGACGAGATCCTTAGCATTGCGCAGCTCTTGAACACACGCGAAGGCAGCATTCGGCTCTGCTTTCTCTGGTCTCACAACCATGGCTCGGTTGTTCTCCCCGTTGAAACGTTCGCCAATATCCCGCAGGTACCAGCGCCATTCGTCAACGTAACATATAAGTAAGGTATCATGGAGCTTGATCGGGTTCTCGCAGAAGCTTTCTCTTGCGACGTGGTCTTCTTGCAGTACGGCTATTGTACGTTGAAACTTGGGGTCTTCGATGGGGTGGAGCACAATCATCAAATCTGGTTCATTGGGCGTGTGTCGGTAAAAGATTCCTGTGTGACGAAGAGACCATTTGGCCGGCCCACGTCTGTTATTTTGTTCAACATACCGGAGTTGATACGAGACTTCAACGGTTCCAGATATGTTCGTATGCATATTGGCATAGTTGCTGTTTCCTTCCGTAAGATTGGGTTCTTGTCCGAAGGATGCGATTACATCATCGAAATAGCGTGGTATATTGTATTCGTTGATTAGGTACTCGAGCAAATCAGGAGTGATATTCAAGGGAGCGATCGTTCTTTCGGAAAATATTGAACTGCAGCAGTCAACGACTGGCATCCTTGCTACACACATATCCACGTGACTCACATTATCCTTAGTCGGTTGTTTTGGGGAGCTTTCTTGCTAAGCTCAGCTCGCGCAGCGCTCGGATGCGAGATGCGTGTCGACGAAACGTTCTCTGGCGAATGTTAGACTGCCTAATTCGAGAACAATTCTCAAACACTGACCTTTAGATATGTCGGTGATGCGAATGTTGATATGAACAGCATCATTTTCCAGCACCGGTCTTCGTTCAGGAACAGTCCAGGCTCGTGGAGTGAGATTTAGTTCGACCGACATCCCGCACGATGTAATGCACGGTTGACAATATAACTGAATACATGAATGAACCCGCTTGTTGACCTTGCAAGCTCATATGTACGGAAGCCGGTGAGAGCCTGCATAATCAGGCTCATATCATTGCCGCATCGGTAATCAAGTACTCACAAAACACACAGCCACATCGCGCAGCCCTTTCACTACCGTGCCGCACCAGGACATTGCGCTTTCAAAGCTGTGATTAGCGCTTGCCAGCGCGTTAGATCGCAGACCCTCGATTATCATACCTATGTACCTAATTATGCATATGAGCCAACCCAAAGTCCTATTGGCATCGTAACTTAGCATTTTCCTTCACTACGCAAAACATCGATCCATCTGCTATCGACAGGGGTTAGTCGTGAGAATACACATATATTGGATGACTGACTCGATCTCTTTCTGTGATATGTTAATCGCGATCGCGCGTCGTGCACCAGGGTACCTACCGAGCCAATCAGGTCTGGAGCTTCGAATGACCATCTATCTCGCTTCCTCTGGTGAGCAGTCAGCCTAGACACAGCCTGGCATCTCATCGAATGAATACCTCAACTTGAAAGCTAAAACCAGGATGAGTGCTGTCGTATTTTTCTTCCAAGAATCTTTCCACATACTCGCGTAAGTCGAAGTACCTTGCTTGCTGAGGTTCTATTGCGTTGAGGACCATAGTGCAAAGGGACGTGCTAAAGAGGCTGAGATGTTCCTACACGAGGGCTTGCTCCCTTGATTTATGTACGTGTCAGCCTTGGCAGGAACAAGTCACGCGAGGCACACACACCTACGGTATTGTCTGAGCATGAACAGCGTATCAGCTACGTTTGCGATTGGCGCTTCCACAAGGGAATAATGAACGATTGGCTTCACTGCGCACTCCATCCGAACAATCAACACCGACCGTTAATCAGCTGCACATACTGGAATCACCAGATCCGGTCGGCGGCTGCTGTCGATTGGACGCCAGGGGCGCAAGCCACCGGTGAAGATGGTCCCTTATCTTTGCGGTATTTCTCATTCGTGAATATATGATTGCATGCGGTTAGTATGCGTAGCAAAAGTTGTGAGTGGCTTGTCACTCTACGTCATCAGTGAAGATGGGTTGTACAACGAAGGCAACCGCCACCATGCGACCTGATCAGCCTCAGCTCGAATACGCGTCCCTCAGCCCCCACTGAACAGCAGACTATCTCAGCCTTGCCCGAATATCTCTGAACCACTTATATATCGGTACTGCTGTTCAATGGATGTTTCTAGGCAACCAAGATTCTGGAACTAATGCCATCATGTCCAATCGTCTAGTGCTACCTCAAGTAGCAGTACTAAAGTAAGTACCTCTGCGAAGTGATGCGAAACCTCGGCGCTGACTATGGCATCACTAGGCCGAACCTCCAAGGATGGATGATCTTCGTAAGTCCTAAGTTCCTCCACATGGAAGGAAGGTTTTGGCGGAACCACACTCGTCAGTCTTTTGATTGGATGTTAGATGCTCATCAACGCTTTACCACAGTTCATTGTTATTAGCTCAGTGATAGGAGCAGGTATATTCAACAATGGTGGATCAGCAATCAAGGTTGCAGGTCCTGCAGGTGCTCTTGTTGCCTTGCTAGTCATGTGTGAGTGACATGTTGTATTGTTATACACATGCTCAACTCATAGTATCGTAGGTGTTATCGCAATCTGCGTTGCAGAATGCATAAGTGAGTTGGTGCAGCTCTTCCCTGCGCCAAATGCTATCGTTGAATATATTCGACATCTGGTTGATGAGGATTTTGGCTGGGCTATCGGCGTTGCTTACTGGTATTTATTGTTGTTTTCGAGGTATAGACTCTTGCTAAATCCCAAAAGGCTCACCTACTCATCCATATTCGCTGCTCAGAATATGACAGCTGCAAGCTTAAGCGAGTACTGGGGAAAGCAGGAAAAACAGGTCTGGCGCCCTATATTCTTTTATTTTGCAGCGCCTTGCAGCATGCTCGTCATTAATATGCTTGGTGTCAAACTCTTTGGTTGGATCGAAGCTATTGGTGGTATTCTGAAAATTGCTCTCGTCTTCTTTACCACCATTGTCATGCTTGCCATGAAGTTCAAAGGTAAGCTCTCTGATAACTTCAGGAAATAGGCATTACTGACAAACTTGTTTTAGAGAGTAAAAACGGTACGCTGGGCTCTTATATGCGAGTGAGGATCTAATATGGGCAGAACTCCAAGACGGATTCCAACACAATCGCGATTACGCCGCCAATAATGCCGCTGCTATCTGGTGAGTTAATCGTCGATGTGCTGCGAGCATTTAGTATACTAAGAAATGTGACAGTTATGTCATTCCTATCGTTGCTTTCGGTTTCATCGGTATCGAGGCAGTTGCAGTCACGGCATTTGAAGCTGCGCCTCAATCTTTACGACGACCTTCTAAGAGTATCGCATACTTTGCGTCATTCTTGTACTTGATCTGTATGCTCAGCCAGACCTTCAATGTTGACTGGGAGGACGATTCCCTGCCTCCCATCTACAACGGCATTGGTGAGACCAAGAGGGCTGCAAACAATAACGAAGAAACTGCGACACATATGCTCGCAATCATAGCTCTGCAGCAGTGGAAGAAAAGCTTTCTCGACGATTTCTTGAATGGGGCTATCATCTTCAGCGTGCTTTCTGCGAGCAATACGGCTTTGTACATTGCATCACGTACGCTTTATGGAATGACACTTCGAATCGACGATGGAAGCTGGGTCGCTAAATGGCTTCATGATTTCTCAAAGGTCGACCGCACTACGGGAGTTCCACTCCCTGCTCTTGTCATGTCATGGATCGCATTTCTCTGGGTCCCCTTCCTGAGCCTAGTGAATCAAAGCTATGTTCCATATGTCAGTATTTAAATGCCCCTATGATTCTCCACTGACTGATTGTACAGATGATCGAGATTATACAAACAGCATCAAGCGTTGGCTGTTTGATTGTATGGGTCGCGCTGACCTTCGCATACCTTCGATATTGGAACTGGTGTGTTTCCATCTAGCGGGTGCCTCGTTCCAAAGCTAACCAAGATCGTAGGCAGAAGAGGTTCAACCACTTGTTAGGTCCTAGTGAATACTATCGGAAGTTCCAAAGAAACGACACGTACAGTCCACACACGATGTTGATCTCTCTCCAGCCATGGCCTGCCATAGTGGGTTTTGTGGGCTGTTTAGTGGTGTTTGTGTTTTGCAGCACCACGTGGTGGTATTCGAAAGTCACTGGACCAAAGGTGCTCATCGCATACGCAGCACAAGTCATTGTGCTCTCTATATTCCTCGTTCTGAAAGCAATTCGGTACCAGCGATTTCGCACTTTCAAGTCCCAACGGTCCGAGCAGGGTGGCTACGATGGTTTCACTGAGAGGCTGAAACAATTGGAGATGAAAGTCACAGAGTTCTCTACGGATGCGGCGAACCCAAGCGATCGGTCTTCAACGCATCCAACAACTGGAAGCCAGGCGATACAACTTGGGTCCGTTGTGAGCCATGGTGATCACTGACGGCAATAGGATCGTACGGCGGGTTCGGAGGGGTGGGCTCCACGTGTTTCTTTGTGGTAATACTTGAATGCACCGACAGAGCTGCCAAAAGACTTTTCTCGTCAGAAGGGTAATACGAGGGAGATAATGAGGTGTTGCTAGGTTAAGCTAGAATGATACAAAACTTACGAATCTCGTCTTATATGCATACATACCTTGATGATTGTAACTAAAAATCTCTAATCTTCTTTTAACATCAGGACAACAGTTGGTCTGATACTTATCAGGCATGTAGCAGAGGTTGAAGATATGAGCTCAAATGCTGAGTCTGGCGTTTGCGGGCAACATTTCTCGTAGGATTGAGGTACCGAACACCTTTCGACCGCTTACTACTGTTTTAAGGAGAAAGAAAAAGGTTCTCTTTTAAGAGTACTTCTTCCTACTATAAAGGTGTACATTAAGAGCTACATAGACATAGATACAAAACTTAGGAAACTACAATACTATTAACCTTTATAAGTTTTCTTGTCTTAAGATGACGTAGGCTGGAAGGTAGAGCTTGTTGTCTCTGTATCTACCTGTTTCTTCTCTTGTATAAGGTGCTTACATCTTTCTTGTTCCACGCTCTTACCTCCTGCAACCAAGATGAGTGGGCAACCATAGAATGCCCGCGACGGCTGTTTCATACTATTGTGATCGTGCATTTACCGTCATCACCCATTGACTCGTACTCTAGCCATGATTCGTTCGTGACGTGTGCGAGCTGATCGCAATCCTCTTGCCCGAATGTTCCAATACCCATTACAGCGATCCCCACCCTTTGGAATTGACCACGTGTGACTCCAGTAGGTATGAGAAGAAGAGTGTTCAATAACCCATGATCTTCGAGGGGTAAACAGTGTAGTTGGGACGACGCGAGAGGACGATCAAGATAAATATGCGCACCACCCAAGCTAGTCCACCTTCCATTCATATAAACGTCCCATCCCTTGGGGCTTGGACGTATCTCAATAGTTGCCAACCAACCGGATAGTTGCAAAGCAGCGCTAATGACCGCACCTGTCCGATCCGCTGTCGCGGTTCTGATATTGCAACAGACAATGTCGACTAAGAACTGCCCCCTCCACGCCATCCAATCTACTTCCCCGTCCATACATGCCCATGACCACGAAGGTGCACGATAAACGATAGTATCTGCTTCTGTTTTGGGTATGTATGGCTCGCGAATGTACCAACTCAACTCTGGAATGAGGTCAAAAGCCCAGAGTCCTGCCCAGTAGTCAATCTCGAGGAGCTGCTTCATATGTTTTGCAATACCGGATAGAGCAACTAGCTTGTCGCTCGGAAATGTCAAGTCACACGTGTTGTAGTCGCTCACGATGTGTTTCCATAGCTCTCCGAACGTATGCGTGTTGAATCTATCATTTTCATGTGTAGATATATGCACACTCTCACTATCGTCGGTCCGGTGGAAGCCAAAGACTTCGATGGAGGCAGGACGCGACCAAGATCTTCTGTGCTCCACCCACATGTTTGGTGGTTGTCCAGTAGGCCAGGTTTCACAGGCATCCAAGCCATGACACTCCCAAAATAACTGACTACCACAGAGATGAAGCACCCTAGGAGCCAAAGCGAGTTCCTGAACAACCCATGCGCGCTTTTTCAGGGGCATAGACGCGAAGTTGTCTACCCAGTAGAATTGATAGTAAAGGTAATACGTGTTGTTGGGATGATCGGTCCATGTAGTCTGAACGAGGGAGCGCTCAGCAGTAGAAACTCTTTCACGAAAGCAACCGGCATCACTATCGACCGCTATACTGGCTGCAATGTTGAGGAAGCTGTGGCGGTAGACTTGGCTCATGAGTGCTGCCTCCTGCTGCCAGTCTTCCTTGGAGTCCTGGAAGATGCAAAACGAGTCTATCCACAGCAACTTGATGCCAAGTGACTTCGCGGCAAATACAGCGTCCTGAAATGTCTTCGCCAGTTCAGAAACATCCACACCATCTCTGAAGCGTTGGAACGAATGTGATGTTAATCTCAGAGTTTTCGAGGTTCCCCAACAATGGCTGAGTGTTGCATACTGCGGAGGAGCATCATCTAGCTCAGAACACAGCCGCAACCGCAATTTGTTAGCCTCTGGCTGGTCAATCTCGAGAAGACGCGTCGGGCAGTATGTCATGGACTTGGAGCCAGATGCTCGACAATCTGTGTGAGTTTCCGTACATTTAGCTAACCACGTTCTCGCGCACGCCATACTGGCAGCCCAGTCTGATGCAGGTGGCTTATGTGCATCATAATTCTTATGATCTTCTGTCTCAAACGTCAGCAAACAGCCTCTGTCAATAGAGAAATGCGCATACCCATCGCAAGCTCACAGATGAAAACCCATTCACGTATGTATTCGTGCGAGTTGGCTTCGACATGCAACTGTCTAGTGCCTGTGCCGTCGTGAAATTCTTTCACTATAACTTCCGTCGATATTTGAACATGCTCTGAGCTCAGTTGCGATAAGTGAGAGATGGGGTCGTTCCACAGAACACGACAAATCTCACAATCTTCGAGAGCGGATCGTTGCAAGCTCTCGATAGAGTCATGGTGCTGAGTGTATTCCACTGGGCACGAGCCTCGGAAGATATTGAGGCAGATCTCACACAGCATCGTGGGTGTCTACCAGATATGGCGAAAGTAGCTTGATACTACCTAGATGAGATGGTTGAGATCATCGTATGTCGCTACAGTTTTCGTAGGAGAATTGTGTTGTTGTAGAGAAGAAGAAGCTCCGATGGGTGCCAAAGCGGGGTTAACGTGAGACAGCGTTGCTAGGCGTTCAACCTGCACAATCGACATCTGATATAGACTCTCTTTTATCCCAGCAAGTCTTGACGGACCCAAGCGGAATAACACGGACTATTTATTTTTGCAGCCTTACTTTCTTATGCGTTTTGGTACCTTTCTCTGAGTGTCAGTTTAACTTTACATCTAGCGCATCATTCCCGTGCCTCAGGCTGAAGCGATGGATTCATCTTGGCACAAAGCCACACGTCTCCATTATCGTACGATACGACTATACGAGCTGTCAGTCAATGCAACGTCAAATTACTGGGTTTTGCTTGCTAGGTTGATACTGGTATACGTATTCTTATTCATGGGGTATATTGTACGCTATGCTCCTACGCTACAAGAAATTTGTAGAGATATATGTTACAAAAAGGGGGTGATTTGCTCGCTGAGTGTTTATAAAACTGGAAAAAAGTGATTTGATGGATCCCGCGGAATACTTCCTGCCATCGATAGAAAAGATCGTGGGACAACGTCCATGTTTTGTTCATTAAGTCTTCTCGCGTCCTATGTGCTCTAGAGTAGCAATCTACGCGACAACATCCTTCGTGGTGACATTATCTGTCGTCATCGTCATCTCCTACCGTTCGGTCCCCATGGTGGCTGTTTTGTACTGTCTCTCGGAAACAATCCGTAGTTGTTGACGTCTGTCGCGGTATTGCCCCAATTGCCAACACTGCTTGTCCGTTTACTTCGTGTGGGTTGTCGGGTAATATTCCCATTCACATCTTTCCGGTTGAAGATACTATTAAAGCCAAGAACTTCTGGCCGGTCAAGGTCGAAAGGATCCGACTGTCGGACTGTTCGACCTGTCGGTGCGGGAGTGAAGAAGTTGGTAGAAGGTCTGCTCGGTCCCGGTTCTCCGAAGAAGATATCAGAGTCACGCGAAGCGAATGTTGATGTCGCATCCACGGTCGACAGCGCATTGAAGCCTGGTAATGCCATCGAGGAACGACGGGTGTGGCTCGGCAAGACAGCTTGGGTGGGAACAGGCGGTGCGTAAGGTGGGTCTCGGAAAGGGTTGTCTGCTGTGTAGAACGACGAAACAGGGTGTGAGCTTAACGCAGATATCGAACTCATCGTACGTTGATGATGGTGAGTAGGTGGTTGAGCCCATGCTGGCGCAGCTCCAGGTGGATCCATGACAGATGCGAATGGATCTCGTGGCGCGGCGTCTGCAGTTGCTGCAGGAACCTGGGGTGTGACAGGCGCGCTTCGGGGGTCGGGGTTGAGTACCAATAGCTTGCTTTGTGGTCCGGGATCAGCAAATGGATTTGGCGAACCCGTGTCTTCGATGATGCCTGGGAACCGGTAATTGGATGATATGCTGCTTGGCTTTTTGCGGAGCAGATTCCTCTCACTCTTCTTGCTTGATCTGCTGTTGTTGGAGCCTGCGCGCTTAACTCCGAAGAAACCTTGCGGCTCACTGCTCGATCGGCCTCTTCCATTAGAGTCTCTCGAGTACACTGATCCAACACTGGCTTGCGCAGCATGACGTTGGTAGGGGTTGCTCATCGGACCAGCCTCGCTTCCTTTTATCCTCGCAACGAATGCTCCCACCCCGCTAGGTATCGTCTTCAGCCTAGCTAGGAAGCTTGGGCCTGTCTCTTGCTTCTCGTTCCATCGTACTGGTCGCGACTTCCGTTTCCGTAGACAGAAGAAGAGCAATATGCTGATAAGAGCTAATGCAGCGACGCCACCAAAGACTCCTCCGATTATGCCTCCTATATTGCCACTATTCGCAAAGGTCAGGGGGCCGTCATCGCCACCAGTGGACCCCTCTGGAGCAATTATACCAGCCGACCCTCCAGTGGGTGTAGAGTCTACTAATGAAGTAGTTGGCTGTGGCCGTGCTTGGGCGGGCGAATCTGTCACGATCGATGGCTGTGCCCTCGTATCGGTCTCGATAGGCAATTGAGGGCTCGTGTCCTGAGTAGGACCGTTGGATATAGCCGGAGCTGTGAAGCGGGCCGGTACACGCGAAGATACAACGAGTGACGTTGGAACAGCTAATTGTTCTGTGTCAGAGCTTGTTGGTACAGAGGTCAGAGGCACAGCTGAAGACGCTGCAGCAACTTGTGACGACAGAGACAGAGTGACCACGGCGACTGGAGAAGATTCTTCCAGCGGCGCCTGAGTCTCTGGTGGCTGCTGGGCGGCTGCCGTTGCACGCTCTGAAGACGAGAGGGCCAGCGGTGTTACCCGCTCGGAAGATGTAGGGGCCGTGGTACTCGTACCTATCGCGGACGTTGCTGCTACTTCTGTTGTAGATGTCGTGGGCACTGCAGTCGGCTGCTGTGCTGGCTGGTCGGCTGGCGTAGTTGTTGAGGCCGGTGCCGTCGAAGAAGGCGGTGGCGGCGGCGGCGGAGGCGGAGACGATGTCTGGGCGGTGGTGGTCTGTATTTGCGATGTCTCCTCAGCGGCCGTGGATGTAGTGACCGCGGGAGGAGTGGCGGTTGATGTCTCTGTAGTTTTGGAGGTTGTAAGGGCCGTTCGGGCTCGTGAACGGGTACATCGTCTCCCGTTTACGATCGTAATCGACTGTTGAGGAGTGGCCATGCGAGCAATGGCTCATGGAAAGAAACGCCGACAAGGGCTCAGAAAGAGAGACGAAGAGAAAGGTTACAAAGCGCCGCGGACGCTTTGTGCATATTAACTTGGGAAATTGGAGTTTACCGCTACGTGATGCTGAATGAATGATTAACGACGAGAGATGTTAGTAGGCGTTCGAAGAACAGCCGGGTAGTAGTCAACCGTTGGCACAGTATGTTGCGCTTGTATCCGTCTGAAACGCGGGCGGCTTCACATCGCGCTTCGGACAATGCACATGAAGCGCGCTGAGCCTCGCACAGTTCAGCGGCAACGGTATGGCCGTCTCAGCCGAAAGCCGTGCCGCCCGACAAAGCATTCTGGTAGCCATTCTTGCGGACGCGATGACATATGTGACGATGCACGATGGGACAGAAAAGTAGTGTGATGTTGGAGGCTTCTGGTGTTGCGACAACTGGACGACGGGACGGGACGTCTGTGAGCACGTGATTGAACACCAAAAGCAACTTGAAGATGCAAAAATACTTCTATTCGACCTCTTGCACCTGGGGGGTTTCTTGGAAGCATCTTCCTGGTCCTCTTGCGATTCATTCAGTCCGAGTGACAACAATTGACAGTCGTATGCGCTTCAACGCATGAACAAGCTCCTAGCTTCTCGGCAGCTACGCTGGGTGTGACTAGTGGAGAGCAACTATCACAATCTTTTATATTAGCTTTTCGAGAGTTAGATGTCATGCATCGACATTGTGTGCTTGCGGAAGGCTTTGGAGGTAGAGCTGCTGGTGGGTGTGGAGACGTTGTTGTGCCGGGTGCGGTGCGCACGTCCAGTGTTTGAGGATCCGCTGGCCTCGCTCGACATTGACATCCCATCGCCGATTCCAACGCATCCCTAAGAATCACGGTCCCCGTACCACCATCCTGTGACCATGTTCAGCTTCGGTGGTAAGTACCTTGCTCGTTAATTCCTTACTTGGTTCATCAAGGCCACGTTGTCGGCGCATTCAAGCGCCGCATCTGCCCGCTCTTAGTGGGACTCACGTCAACAACAGCATTAACAGGCGCCGTTCATCATGGCAATTGGAGCGGCTCTCACTTTCGTGTATTTCTTTACTTTGTTAAGCTGCTTGTTGTAGACGCTACTTGGGATGCTTCTGTCTGTCAAGTGGATATATATCCCACACATGTTTCGTCTGAGACGTGCGCCGCACGTGCAGTATTGTTGCTGATATAGGACATCTTGTTCATAGGCAACCTACTGGCGGGGCAACATGATACAGAGAAACAGAGGTCGCCACCTTCGAAACCGACACCCGTCACGTTTCCTTCCCTTGACCCGCCCGAGCCCTCGACAAACGCGCCGCCAGCTTCCTGGACCCAACCGGGAGCCAAGATCTCAGGACACTTCCTGCGACTGAAGAAGCCGTCCGATGTCAGCGAAGACACCTTGGCCTTGCTGAACGTCACGTTTCAGCCCCAATGTAGTCTAGAAACATTATTATCATCCTTGTCAAACAACGCAGGGACGTTCTTACCCCCAAGTTCTTGGGTGCATTCGCCTGGAGAACAAGAGGCTGTACCAGATCCGGGATCTACAGCCAAACTTCTGAGCAATGGTAGAAGATTACCTGATCAAAGAGAGTTTCATATCCGGGCAAGAGAACTTCTCTTCAAGAATGCCGATGCTTTCTCGACACTCACGCGGAAGAGTAGTGGAGATCAAACACCGGTTCGATTGGCTCATTTTCGAAAGTTCTGGGAAGGTCTTGACAATCTAGCTTATTACTGGGACACATCTTTAGACGAATATCTTCCACCGGCCCAAGAAGCTAGCGATAGCAGTGGGGAAACCACAGTCTCAGGTTCCCTGCAAGAGTCCACAAAAGCCGATGGTCGGGAAACCAAACGCGAAACAGATTCAGACCGGGCGTTGACAGCGAGGCTCGGGTCTCGCACGCCTGAAGACAGGGAGCCTCGCAAGAAGGCCAAGGTAGAAGACGCTGAAAGCGAAACACGATCAACCGGGGCCCATAGCACTAATGGCACCATCAAAGCATCAGTGAGTGCACCGGTGTCTTCAGCTTCTCCAAATCGTGTACTCCCAGCTCGGGCTGCACCACCCAAGACCCCGTGGGCGGCAAACATGGAGTCTCAGAGCAAGACAGTTGACCTCTCGAACGGCTCTTACCGAGGATATCGTATTGGGAATGGTATCGAGATGCCTGATCAGTACCGCATTGATTGCGTGCGCAGCTTCTTGGAACCTATTGCATGGGCATTTGGTGTGACACTCTCACCACACCGCCGCCCTCCTGTTCTCGCGATCGAGCACATTCGGTTCCCTGTTCGCATGAGCTCTGTAGCTTGGCAGGCACCCCAGGATAGGGCCAAGGCCAGGCATGGATATATGGAAGGTCCAGTGTTGGGTCTACAGTGCAGGGCAGATACTGGCTTTGGTTTGACAGGCAACCTAAAGAAGCAGTCTACTCTTGATGCCGTGCGTGAGTTAGGTGGATTATTGTTGTTGGCACAGGAGAGAGCTAGAGAAGGAAAGTCTGAGCGCAGAGGTGGCGAGGGTAGATGGTGGACAACAAAAGAGCGCTGGGGCGGAGGACCTGGGGGCGAAGTTGGCGAGACAATCGGTACCACCGAGACACTTTCGACAGCCGCAGCTCCTAAACTTGAAGAGAAGCCCGTTGAACGGAACCGTGACGGGTCCAAAGCCCGTCGCAAGCCATCACCAGCAGAGATCTGGAAAACGCTACGACCTGGGAACCCACTGTGGGATCCTAAAGTGACCTACCAGGCCATTGGTAAAGACAAAAGTGTTGAGTGGGACGATGTAGGGCCCTGTACAACAGCTCTAGGAAGCTGCATCCGCTGATCCGCCACTCTAGGTTTTCATGATCTCGTCGTTGAATCACCACATCAGCGTCTTGAAACTACGCATACATCCGGCTTATCTTGACTACATCACCGAAGGTAAGCTCCCCGACCAGGCGCCATCGGATTCCGACTGGTGCTCGCCTAAACTGCAAAGAACGAGGTGGTTCGACCTATTCGATGTCGAAGATCGCACCGAAGCCATGAGAGGTATCTGGGGCGTCATGTCCTATCTCATGCGTGCGGACACGAATGATCACGATGGTACTGCTGCAAACCAATAATCACTGGCTGTCGTCGGCATGCCTCTTCTTGCGCGGTTGGAATGGCTAATGAGGGACGGTCTGGATTCGTGAACGTGGAACCCAAAAGTAAATACCGAAGCTTCATCATTCTGAAAGACCGGAGACGTTCGGGGCGCCAAAGATGGTGTACAATCTCTCGACTTATTCGCAGTCTCGGTCGTTTCCAAAAAGCACCCTAATCCGGTTTCCGATTCTTCAAATCATCTGCATGAGACACTGAGCTAGATCTACGAAGGCCAAATTCTTCTGTGTCACGATCAATCCAGAGATGAATCTTCGTTGCGCTTGCTTCGCGATCGATACTAATCTGGAGAAGGCACCTTTGCGGATGTGATCGTGCAGAAAATATCTCATCAGGGTAAGTTGTTGCCTTAATGTACCCAAAGTTGTATGGCAAGATACACAAACATACTGCGCGACGATGCAGGCATCTTTTTCTCAAGCTTGCATCCAGCCAATCAGTTCAAGGACACTAAAGCACAGCCGGCCGAAACGGCAAAGCTAATGCAACAGGGCCACAACGTGACCGGCGCGTTGCGCTTCGTCCACAATTACACGCACACCTGTATCGTTGTTGGTCAACGCTTGTTGTTTGGACGACCAATGGCGCAATCTTCTAGTGCGATTGTGTCACTAAGAATATCGATATTCTTCCACCAACACCCTTGACTAAGCTCCGCCTCGTTTGGTAGAACTGTGGCGCTTTTAGCCAGTCTGTACCCAAGGGGCGCCTGACGCAACGACGTAAGGCGCCTGTCAGATTATCGATCCATTTTGACGCTTGATGGTAGCTCAAACACTGGTCGGCAGCACAAGGTCAACGACCATCAATCGATATGCAGTCACTACCCTGGACCCACTCATTCCTAACAGTTTCTACAGCCCCCAAGAAACGCACACAGGCCTCGAATTGTTACACCAAATCGGCGTCGTTTTCCAAGTAGAGCTCGTACCAGCGACAAGCAGGTGATGAAGCTTCCTCAATCACACGCTTACGACCACTTCTCGTTACAAGTAGGTTTGCACAAACACTGAAACTCACCAGTGACAAGTAAACATTTCAACATATCAATCTATCACATCTGCTTCCAGTCAAGTTAGGCCATGCGCTATGTTGACCCCGGTTCCTGGTCCGATGTGGCCGCACACATGGTGTGAATCTCAGGCATCGATCCGCAAACCGGGTTTGCAGGCAATGCAAAAGTACCTATGTACCTAAGTACCTTAAAGAAGCAGCAAATTCCTGGGGCCGGACCGCTTCTCACATAATCTTCACGATGTACGATATGACTAAATCATCAACTCAAGCCGTCGGAAGCAACAGTGCAATCAGCAAACACCTTGCGTTGAAGAGGCTATTGAGATAACTGGTCACGATACAAGCTGGGCGGGAATGGCGCTCCATAGTCAGGAACGCTCCGATGACCGATCAACCCTCCTAGCGACGCCTCCACTGGGCAAGAGTAACAGTGGCTTGAAAGGCTACGACAATGAGCAAGACAGAGCGGTCAGCAGTCCATCTCGCCCGAACACGCCCTTGCCCTTCTTCTTCTCCTCCACTGCATCGACACCCAGTCTTGTATGCGGCCCCAGATCTATATAAGTCCGTATGCGTGGCTTGGATAGACGGCATCGAAATCGATAGACTTCACTTGCTTACTACAATTTACCCAATATCAACTCAGCCCCAAAGTCAGCACGCCTTATTGCATCTCTCTACCCTTGCGGATAGGATCGATCTTCTTCTCGTCTATCTTGCCCCACCTACCAACATCACTTCCCGTTGTCCAGTTGATGGTATATAACAGCATATGCCCATCGTCTGAACATCTCGACATCTCAACATCCCAACCATCCATCTCTTCAACACACTACACTTCCTACCCTCTCCCCTAATCACAAACACTTACACTACCACCACCATGTTCACCACCGCCATCCTCCTCCTCACTTCCCTCCTCCCTACCCTCATCACTGCCACCGATATGCCCAAATCCCGCACCGTCAACCCCGAGCTGAACGCCGCCCTCCGCATGGCAGCCACAAACTTCGACCGACAAGCTCTCCTGCCTGCCGACACAGACTGGTACTACGACTTCGACTCGAACCCAAACTACGACTCACCCAACGGCGCCGTCATCAACGCCGACGCTGCCAGTTTCCCTGCTCTCACTGGCATGGGATCTAGCATTGCCTTGCTCAAGCTAGCTCCCTGCGGAATGCTGCCACCGCATCTGCACCTCAGGGCTACCAACTTGGTCACTGCCATCACGGGTAACACAACGAGTTACATGATTGGGGAAAATGGAGTCAAGACCAGAAAAGTTGATTTGATCCCCATGCGTGTTACCATTTTCCCTCAAGGAAGTCTCCACACGATGCAGAACAATGGTATGTTTGACTCTTTTCTTCTCTTGCTATCTACTACCCAATCGGGGATGCGGCCTTCAGCCTCAAAGTATACTCGTCTTTTTACCCGGTCCTTGGTCACACACTTTCGTATATCACACTTTACTAATCACACTCATAGATTGCGAACCCGCTCTCCTCCTCAGCGCACTCAACAGTGACGACAGTGGTACCCTCAATATCCTACCCAGCCTCTGGACCGTCCCACAAGATGTCATCAGCGCTGGTTTCGGCGATGCGTCTCTCAACACCGAGAGCCTTGGCCAGATGATTCCTGCAGTGGGTACCGGAGCTATTATTGGGAGTGCGGAGTGCAAGAAGAAGTGTGGTATCCAGACCTAAGGCAGTCAGTCAAGTTGGTTGAGGGCAGGGCTGAGCAGCTACTATCGCTACTGCAGTAGCGCGTGTGGCGCAGACGTTGACAACGGCTTTTTGCTTCTTTCCGCCCCCTTTCTTTACTTCTTATGCTGTAGTTTTGATAATCGTTTCGCACTGGCTTCGCCTTTGTGTTTGCACGCTATGGTTTTGCAGGAGCGGTATCTTAGTTTTACTGCTTTCTTGATTTGAACATCAGACACGATGTTGCGATACATGCATGCATGCATAGGTATGATGAAAAAGAATAACAATAAAAGCTGGTTGATTTTACTTTCCAGAAAGTTTCATCTATCTTCCTTGTTAGATCTTGCATTGATCGTGCATTCGATGTGCGAAACCAGGTTGCGGGCCGTCACCCCGCCCTGTAGTGGGGGCCAAGATGTCTCGGCAACATGATGAAAATGGTGTGGTAAGCAAGGAGGCTTGGATCAGGCGTGTTGGCATCCCCTGGTAGTAAGACATGAATTTTTCCGATGGAAGGTAGTAGATGAAGGTCTTGTAGGATAGCCGCCGTGGCTTGCCTGCACCGCTAGACCGGTACAAATGCGGAGCAAAAGGTCAGCTTCTGGACCACAACGTGAAAGCCATGTGGTTCCTTGCCCCCACAGAAGACGTAGGGCTGATGACGGATATCTGGTAGCCGCATGCAAGTAAGATGCAAGTGAGACACCCACCTGCTGTGTGCCGAGGTGTGCAAATTCTGACCGGCTGCGGCCGTGCGACGCATCTCGATCTCTTCGACTTGCGTCTGGATCAGTGGAAAGACATTGAAAAGCCTAGACGGATGAAGGCCTGATAAAAGTACAACTCATCGTGCATTTTCCGAGACCCTGACGTTCGAGAACGCGACATCGGGTCCCTCTCCAGCAAGCTTAGCGGACATGCTGGTAATGACTTCATCCGACCATCGGAACGCATCGACCTGATGGTAGTCCAGAAGAGAGTTCAGCCTTTTGATTATCCACGCCTGAACTTCTGGTGTGCAGTACTCGTACGCAACGACGAAGCTTAAGCCTGTATGGAATGCACCAATCGGTCTGCCAGCCCAGGCATCCTCCCATGTCTTACAAATCTCCGTCGCAACCGACCGACACTCCGCTTGCAGTTCATGGCGCGATTGGTCGAAAGGTGGTAGAAGCCGCATTAGGACTTTATTCGTCAGAATGACGACAGACCAGAAGCAGTTATAGGCAGTCATATCGCGCCAGTTGTTGAAGTGATAGGCTGTTTGCATAGGGCTGTTCTTTTCTCTAGCTGGTGTCTCGGAAATGGCGATGCCGTTGGTGAGTTTGGCATTCAGGTGCTCACCTAGGCTGCGGACAGCGTCTTTGAGGTTGTATACTTTGTACAAGAGTGTCGTCCGCGCAGATTCGTAAGGGTATGTGTAAGGACTCGCATTGATCGGGTAGGAGGTTTTGACAGGCCGCAGGTCTTCAAGGAAGTCCGTCTCTTCGAAAGAGTCGGTAGAAAAATCAAGAGATGGCGGTGTGTCAGAAAGTGATTTACACAATTCGTCGTTTGAGCTGAAATCGAAGCTCGTAGCTTGTGACGGTTGAGAAGCATAGCGCTCACCTAATTCTTTCAGAGCATGAAATATACCCGGCAATTCGGCCATGTATTGCATTAGGTCGGTGTTCAAGCAGTCGTCGAAACTGAGGCCGGTCTTGTCGAAAGCGATTTCTCGCCATCCAGGAGACGCGAGAAAGCATGGTTTGCGCTCGTATATGCATGTAATGATCTGCCGATATGTTAGTATTCAGTCAGAAGACCCAAAACCTCCGAGCCAAAAGACTCGACTATCCTGTTGTGACTCTTTTTACTTACTATTCCACCTCGATTGAAGCGTAGTATCTCTTTTGTGAAGGTGTCTCTGTACCTGGAGGGTCCTTGTAGTTCCATTAATCGCCCTGCGCCGCCTACGTGCGTTAAATATCGATTGCCTATTCTTGGACCTGCAAACGCCTAGTCATATAAGTATGGTCATAAGAAACAGCTGGATAGGACTTACTTCAACCAGACCAAGAAGTACCGATGCGCAAAGTGTGTTCGGAGACATGCCTAATTGTGGGCTCTCGAGGCATGACTGTAGCGTCTTGATGGCCCGGATATATAGTTCTGGGGATACAATCTCGTCTGCAGCCTTTTTGTAAACCAACGAAGTATGGACGTTGACCAACACGGCTACGGCCGCATCGAGAGCTGCGTTGTGCCCAATCCTAGCTGGAACTTCCTGGATGAACGGACCAAAGACAGACATCCGATGTCCTGTACTGCCGGTTGTAGTGGCTGAAATTAGGGCGCGGGCGAGTTGTTGATGCTGTGACGGCGACGGATGTCTTAGAAAGGGCGTTTTGGGTGGACTTAAACTAATCGAACTTGATCGTGAAGCTTTTCTCCGGGTCGTTGAGCTCTTGTTTGAGATCCTAAATTTGTGAGTGACCGAGCCATTTTCGGCAAACTTCTCGTTCAGTTGTGTCAAGTGTCTATTTCGTTGATCTGTGACGTGATTAGCATAACATTCATTTTCATTCCAGCTAGACCTACCTGGTGGTGTGGTTTTCTCTTCCACTGCGAAGTTCGTCGTGCCACCATTCAGCCTAGGACCGAGGTCTCTGAATGTGTGTCGCGCAGGCGGTCCAGGACATGATTTTCCATTTTTCTGGCAGTTCAAGCACGCTGGCCATGTCTCGTCTTAATCGTCACTAGTCAGAACGTTTGAGTCGCGCCGGTCTTGTGGAGCTAGCCTTACCGCACTCTATCCTTAGTCAGGAGATATCCGCAAGGAAGAGGGGTATGGTTCACTTACTAATCTTCCTCTTGCGGCAGATGAGGCACCCAGTGCTTTTCGGAACACCGACCATGCTTCCACCATATGCACTTGGTAGGGACTGCTAGCAAGCGAAGTGAATGGCGTGAAATTCCAGGCGCAGAAATTAATAAGACTAGGAAGAGCTGAAGCTGAAGCGCTCGCTGTCAATGCACGTCGGTGGCCATATGGCTGTTGAACGATGCTGTGTATGATGTATGCAGGCCGCTTGCCCTCGTTAGGCTTCTCGGAGAAGTTCCATACCGTGGCTGCAGGCGAGGCTTGGGCCCACAGGGCTGGCGTTGACACCCTGGACTGGCGGTGGAGGTTTGGCAGGAGAAGAAGCTCGTCGACTCACGTGTTCGCGGCATAGGGCCTGATCAGGCTAGGTCGGAAGCGGGGTTTACATGATTGGGTGAGCTGTATATGAGTCCAGGATATGCAGATAGGAGCCAGCTGGTGAGTTCCTTGTAAGTGGTCGCAACACTGCTCATCGGGTATGTTGCACATGTCGTCAGACCGCGTATGCAGCGTGTGTAGTGAAGTGCACCAGAGGTAGACCGTAGGAACGACAGGGACCGCCAAGCCACTAGAACACAACTACATCATTCTACGCAGGGAGCGTGGAAGCATCCGCATCCGAAAAGCATTAGTATCTCTTGTTATCTGTGCAGTAGGCTGGTGCTGTGGCTTCCAGCCCGCTTACTGTTCCTACTTTATGTTACTCCATCATATGCTATACGGACTGCAAGCAACCCTCACAATACTGCTACACCGTAAAAGGTTGTAGCTTTATCCAACCAACATGACGACTTTGTTCTGCGATGAACCAGATGAGTCTCCCAGCGGTGTTCAAAGCAGTAGCGATGCTGTTCATTGGACAGGCATTGCTTCATGCGCCACAGGCGTAAAGCTTGTAGCTTCCATGTGTTGACCGTAGCTCTTAGGGCTGATTAGATTGTAACAGACTATCGTCAGGGACGGTGAAGATTCCTCATGGATCTAACAGTGTGGCAGACTTCAGCTGGCTGAACTCGGCTATCCGTAAGGCAGAAACGCTCCTTCATGCACACCACTGACAAGACATCGGCTGCATCCACCCAACGTCAATCTCAGCCCTAGTCAAGTCGGGGCGTAGAAGCTGCTCAGACACCCATAGCTACTGCGGCCGGATGCACGCTTACTGATCCTGCTACGAGTGTCTGACCAATGATCATATGGCAGTAAACGCGAGGTAAGCTTTCCTAGGTCCAATACGACTCATACAACAGATCGGCACACATCCTCGGCATACGCCATCGGCATCTTGATGCTCTCACGAGACTCGTATGTCAAATCATCATGGACGGTGTATGATCCGAAGCTAAGTGATCCTTTCGCAGTAAAACGTGCATGATATAAGTTGTAGATTCCCACGGCACGTATCCAAACATGCGCTTAAATAGATGTCGTTGGAACAATGAAACAGGGTATCGCATAAGAAAGCCCAGGCCAGGATCCAGTCGATTGGCGCATTTTCGAACCATCTTTGTCCGCCTTATCCACACTTGCTTCCGACTCCCATCAAACAATCAATGGGATACACTGGAACCGGATCCGTCGCTTGTGGCAAAGCAGCCCGGCGTGAACCAACCGTCCTGTCGGTAGCGCCTAGCACAAGCCCAAGTTCTTGTTTTCTATTCCTCCATGTCCTCATCATCCTCACCCTCGGCCTTCTTCTTGGCAGCGCGCTTCTTCTTCGGCTTAGCATCCTTGATTGTCTTCCTCTGCACTTGATCACCAACGCGCACGCGCTCGGATGCACCCTCATCTTGGAGACGCGCACTGAGCGCTTTGAAGTCGTCTGATTTGTTTTCCATGCCAACGAGACTCTCAAGCAATTTGATCTCACGGGCATCAATGCCCTTGTCGTCAACCTTCTTGCCGTTCTCGTCAATGGTGTCGATGGGTGTCTCAAGGACCATAGGAAGACCATAGAACCGCTCATCGTTCATCAGGTTGTGGAACGCCTGAAGACCCAAGTATCCGGTTCCAATACGGGCGTGCATATCACGGTAACTTGCCAATGGAGCCTTACTATCGTTGACGTGGAAGGCTTTAAGATACTCTAGCCCAATCTCCTTATCGAACTTCTCAATAGTCTCGGCGTAAGCTTCGGGCGAGCGTAGATCATAGCCAGCAGCGAAGACATGACAGGTGTCTAAACAAACACCGACACGGCTCTTGTCATTGACGAGATTGATGATGGCAGCGAGGTCGGCGAACGTGCCGCCGATGGTATTACCGAGAGATGCCATGGTCTCAAGTACGGTGACGACCTTACCAGTTGTTGGATCCGCATGCGCCCGGTTGAGGTTCTCGGCGATGATTCGAATGCCCTCCTCGCGAGTAGTCGCATTTGCATTACCAGGGTGGAAGTTGTAGAGCCTGATACCAAGCGCATGGCAACGAGTCAAGTCATCCAAGAAGGAGTCGTAGGCCTGCTTCTTGCGGACAGGGTCGGGGTGAGCAAGATTGACCAGGTAAGAACCATGAGGCAGACAACAATCCGCAGCGTTGATGTTATGGTCTTTGCACCCCTGAATAAACAACTTGGCATGTTCTGGATCCATAGCAGCAGACTCCCATTTACGCTGGTTCTTCATGAACAGTGCGAAGGCGTTAGCCCTGTGAATGTCAGCAACAACTCGACCATGTTGTGAGTGAAGATGCAAAACATACCCAATGTATACCATATTAACGATGGAATTGTGCACACCTAAACGACGATTGTCGAGTCCACGTTAGCCAAAGTTCTTTGCAGAGTGTGGAAAAAGGATAGTATGGCGACTAACCTCCGGCAATGCTGACATGGGCGCCGATTCGATGCTTAATGTCTTTGGTACGCTCTGCGCGGGGTGGCTCGATCTTTGCGGTCTTGGTCTTGGTCTTGGCTTTAGGTTTTGGCTTGTCTTCGACGTCGTTACCTTCGTCATTGGCCTTCGCCTTCTTGCCTCTTGCAGTCTTCTTGACAGAGGTCTTGGCAGTGACCTTGCCGTCACCATCTGCACCGATCTCACCCTCCATCACATAGTCTTTTGCTACGGTCTTTTTTGTAGCGACAGCCTTCTTGTTCCCTCTCACCTCGACTTTCTTCGTTTCGCGCTCGCCGTCACCACTTTCCTGGGCCGCAGCTTCGTCTGCCATCTCTTCTGTAATCTTCGCCTTCTTGGTTACGCGCCGCTTGGGTTCAGATGACTCGCCAGTACCCTCAACGTCATCTTCGATATCAACATGCTGTGCTGTACTCCTCCTTGTGCGCGGAGTCGTCTCGGCCTTTCTCTTCTTGCCATTCACTGCTGGCTGGGTTACAGCAGCGGTCTCGGTAGCTGACGCGGTATTTTCAGGAGGAGAAGAGAGTGACGAGTCTGAGGAAGCGGTTGGTATCTTCTTTGCCATGGTTTGCGTTGGCAGACGCTTTTCGGTGTTCGTGCTCGAGATAGCTGGGGTGATAGGGACCGGAGAAGTAGGGAGTGTAGTGGAAGAGTGGCGGGAATGATAGGACGAAAAGCTTCTTATATATGCAGCAGGTGGCCCGAGGTGTGCGTATCGACGGTAAAGGTGAGAGGAGCGAGCACGTGGCAGGTGAGAGGAAAAGTTCAAGATGCTACTCCTGATGGCATTTCTTGGTGAGCGTGGATTGGACAACTGTAGATACGAAGGAGAAGATTGCAGGTTTGGGTATCTGTGAACAGGTACTACTGTGCCGAAGTGATTGCGATGCTGGCAAGGACTGCAAATATCGAAGAAGCTGGGAACGGAGCGCGTCGGCAACGATGGGTCTTTCAGGAGAGAGTGACTGATGGCAACAGGTTCCAAAGAGTGACGATGCAATGAGTGAAAACAACTAGAGGAAAGATTGAAGAAACGTGATTTCATACGAGGATAGTAGAGAATGCGAAATGGCTGTGAGGATACAGTGAAAGTCGCATCAACGTCATGAGAAGCAGACGCGCAACGCTAAGTCGCGCGCTCACATGGCTTAACCCCGCGATAACTCCGCCTGCAACACCAAAAAATATCGTCTCCAGATCCAACAGCCCACGCCCACCGATCGCAAGCTCGGTCGACACCCGCAGCCACCAAGACTACACACCTGACCGCGTCGCAGGAAGTCCTAGACATATCGCGATCTTCCGAGTCTCCCCAGAAATATAATCGCCTGCACCGAAACCTCAACCACCTCCACCGCCCAAGATGCCGAAAGCAAAGCAAAAGCGCACAAAGGCCGTCGACAACAATGCCTCTCCCTATGCCCGCCCAACTTCCGCAAAAGCCTCAGCTGCGCACTCAATCTTCAAGATGGACAAAGATCTTGGTCAACATATCCTCAAGAACCCTGGTGTCGCAACCGCCATCGTCCAGAAAGCACACTTGAAGCAAAGCGACCATGTCCTCGAGGTCGGTCCCGGAACAGGCAACCTGACAGTCCTCATCCTCAAAGCCGCCAAACAAGTAACAGCCGTGGAAATGGACCCCCGAATGGCCGCCGAGCTCACCAAGCGTGTACAAGGCAGTCCCGAGGAAAAGCGTCTCACAATCCGCTTGGGCGATGTAATAAAAGCCGAGCTACCACGTTTTGACGTCTGCATAAGCAATACGCCCTATCAAATCTCTTCGCCCTTGGTTTTCAAGCTCCTAGCTCTGCAGCATCCACCCCGCTGCTGCATACTCATGTTCCAGCGCGAATTCGCCATGCGCCTCTTCGCGCGGCCCGGCGAAAAGCTCTACTCTAGACTCTCCGTAAACGTCCAGATGTGGAGCAAAGTCAGCCACGTAATGAAAGTCGGACGCAACAACTTCAACCCCCCGCCACAGGTAGAGAGCAACGTCGTGCGCATCGAGCCCAAGAACCCACGACCACAGATTGCATACGAAGAGTGGGACGGTCTGCTACGCATCTGCTTCGTGCGCAAGAACAGGACGCTGAGGGCGAGTTTCCTGGGTACGGCTGCGGTTTTGGAGTTGCTGAGCAGTAACTATCGTCTCTGGTGTGCTCAGAACGATATCGAGATTGATGATACGCCTATGGATCCTTCCGAGGTCACCGAGGATAACGAGGAGACGATGGACGTCGACGATGAGTTCAAGGGATTCTCTGACCCAGATGACCCGGATGATGAACTCCCAGACTTCTTCAAGCAGCTCCAGGCGGAGAGCAAGAAGAGGCAAAATGGTGTGAATAGGAAGAAGAAGGGGAGGTTGAGTGAGTTGGTCAGGGAGAAGGTGAGGAAGGTGCTCGAGGATGAGACGCAATTGGCGGATAAGCGTGCGAGGTTGTGTGATGAGGGCGACTTTTTGAAGCTGTTGTATGCGTTCAATCAGGAAGGCATCCATTTTAGCTAGAAAGCTGGACGATGGGAAGTATGAAAAGGTTGGGTGGTGCATTTTATGGCGTTTCTTATTGCATGGTGGGCGTTGGGGTATACCAAAAAGCGTGGCATAAGTAGCTAAAGGCGTTCTCATATACGACAGTTTATACAAGGATAGATGGCGAAGGATACGTACTCGCAAGCAAAGGCTAGTTACTTTGGGTATCTAAAACTAAACCACATATCCAATCATCACTTGTTATCCTCGTTTATCGTCTTCTTGGCCAAAGACTTGCTAACCCTCAGCAAAAGGATTAGGCGGGAGGGTATCAGGATCAAAGCCGTTCTTCTCCTCTTCCTTGATGCCGTTCACGTCCTCCTCGTGTCCCTCACCATGCGGTTTGCCCTCATCATCATCATCTGTCTTCACTCCGTTGACTCGCTTCCCCTCATTCGGTCTCCAAAGCCTAATCGTCCGATCCAAGCCCGCGCTAACAATCAGTTCCTCACTCGGATGCGTATGCACGGAAAGCACAGCATCAGTATGCCCGTCTAGCCTCTGCAGCACATTCTTACTGCTAACATCCCACAAAACAACCTGCCCTTCCTCATCTCCCGACGCAACAAACGCATGTTGCTGCCCACCATCCTCCTTCTCGCCGTATGTCCCAAACGCTCCGGACAGCGAGTATTGTTTGTTGACATGGCCTTGATAGGTTTTGACGCATTTTCCCTTTCCTTCAATGTAGTTCCAGAGGCGGATGCATGAGTCTAGGGTCCAGGCTAGAATGTACTTCCCGTTTGGAGAAAAGATTACGGAGGAGACGGGGGCATTGTCTTCGTGGACGAGGGTGCGCAAGCATTGACCTGTTGCTGTGTCCCACACGCGGATCAGGCCGTCGTGAGAACAGGAGACGATCAGAGTGCCGTCACGGACGAAATCTACGCCGCCGACGGGGTCGGAGTGTGCAGGGAGAGAACGCATTACTCGGGCGGCGCGTACGTCCCAGAGATAGACTGCTTCGTCGTACGAGCCGGAGACGAGCATGTTACCTTTCGGACTGAAGGCTATGCTGTAGATGTAGTTGTGGTGGCCGATGAAAGGAGTTGGGTGCGCCAGTCCAGTTGCTGTGTCCCATAGCCGTATGCTCTTATCGTCTGAGCCGCTGGCTAGGATCTTGGAATCTAGAGACCAGCATATTGTGCTGATACCAGCGAGGTGGCCTTCGAGGGTGTGTTCGAGTGCTCCTGTTTTGGCGTCCCAGATCTTGATGGTGCAGTCGGCGGATGCGGAGGCGATGTAGCGGCCGTCTGGGGAGAATTTGACGCACGATATGGCTTTCTTGTGGCCGCGCAGGATGAGCGTAGGCGCATAGTGTAGAGAGGTCGGTTTAGAGGGCGGGGATGTGCGATGTCGGGGCGACGAGGACGACGAGCTTGAGCGACGTGATCGCGATGGCGAGGGAGAGTATGAAGGCCGTCTGTCTCTGAATTCCCGCTGTTCGTCTTCGCTGTCTCCTCTGCTGTAGCGGCGCGCGGGTCTTTCCGCTATCCTATAGCTCGGTGAGGCATTGGGCGGTTCGCGGGAAGCGGAGCGTTTGCGCGGCCGTCCGTCGTCGTATCCGTCTTCGTCTTCGCGTCGTCGTTTGGGCGAGGTTGATCGTGTCGAGTCCATATTTACTCCCAAAGTGGTTCGTTTGGTGGTCCGTAGGGGAATGGGAAAACGCGACTGATCGGCAATGGGAAGTTAGCGCGCAGGCATCCCTGCATCTCAGGTACATTTTCCCCAGTTGCATCATAGCCCGTCAACTCAACTCACGCCGACTTTCACAATGGCTTCACAGGCCGCCGCACCGCCTTCGAGCATACGCATCTTGTCCCTCAATTGCTGGGGGCTCAAGTTCATTTCCAAGCTCCGCAATGAGCGTCTTACCGAAATTGGTATCCAGATCGCCGCCGCCAATCCGCAACCCGACATTGTAGGACTCCAGGAGTGCTGGACGCAGCAAGATTACCATGCCATTCGGGAGAAGACACGCCATATCCTGCCTTATGGCAAGTTTTACCACAGCGGAATCTTCGGCGGTGGTTTGGTCATTCTGTCACGATGGCCCATTGTCGAGAGCAACATGGTGCGCTATCCATTGAACGGACGGCCTGCTGCCTTCTATCGCGGAGATTGGTTTGTTGGCAAGGGCGTTGCATGTGCGAGGATACGGATGGGTCCTTCCAAGAGAGATATTGCAGAGGTGTTTTGCACACATGTATGTCCCTTCTCTCGTATACAAAGGAAACGTACTGATCCCAGTAGCTCCACGCCCCCTATGAACGCGAACCCCACGATTCCTACATCTGCCATCGAACAGCTCAAGCGTGGGAAATTACAAAACTCATGCGCGCAGCCGCCGAGCGAGGCCACCTCGTCATCGGCATGGGCGACTTCAACATGATTCCCTTGTCCCTCGCACACCGCATCATCGAGACACATTCGCCTGTCCAAGACGTGTGGCGCATACTGCATCCCGATTCTTCCATCGGTGCAGCCAAAGACAAGGTGGAGCAGGTGCGCGGCGTACCAATGCCATCGGCACAGTACAACATGACTGTCAATGGCGCAACATGCGACAGTGAGTTGAACTCTTGGAGATGGAACAAAGGGCAGCAAAGGCGTCTCACAAAAGGCGAGAACGTCCAGATAGATCCTACGATCCCAGATCCAAACGCGAAACGACTTGACTACGTCTTCTTCAGTAGCGGCCGATACCACAATCCGGAGACAAAGGAAGAGACAGCTGAGTGGACGCTCAAGGAAGCAAACGTGGGCATGGCCATGCGTCATCCTACGCTACACTGCTCCCTCAGCGACCACTTCTCCGTCGAGGCGACATTGACAAGGACTTCTACTGCACCATCAGCCATACGACTATCCCCATGGGCACTGCCTGAACGCTATCTGCCCATCGAGACCTACGACGAGATCATGGCAACCATACTCAAGTACCAGGTTCGAGAGAGGATACAGCGCAAGCTGCGCATAGGCCACTTCTTCTACCAGCTCTCCTTCTCCATTGGCTGTCTAATAGGTGTCTGGTGGTCACCCAAGAATTACGTGTCCTTTATACTCATGTTGTTGAGCACACTAGGATTCAGTGTGGGTGTAATCGATGGACTGATGGGGTTGTTGTTTGTTGGTAGCGAGATGAGGGCACTCAAGGAATTCGAGTGGGAGGTCCGTAATACCAGGGAGCGGGCGCTCGCAAAGAACGAGACTGTGAAGACGGATTCTGGAAATAGTGAGATACCTTTTGCATCGTAGCGATAGTTCTAGTCATATATTGGAAATAATCGAAACATTTTACAGAAATTGTTCATGTGCTGTAAAGCTCCAAAGGTTGTGTTGTGAGGCAAGACGCGTGCACGTGCGGTCGTACAAACGCGCGACATGGGAGTGGCCGAATGCTTGGCCTTCCAAGGCTCCATTGACCATCATTCCAAACCTCATCACTCCCAGCATCTTGCTTCACACACCAAACCCCCATCTCCACCCACACGTAATTTAATCGCAGCAACTACGCGACACACCATCTACGCTTTCCCGTGCCAAATCTCGTATACGACACCACAACCGTCCAACGTGCGGCTCGGAAGTCCGCTGCCCTCGATATGAGCGACTCCCAGCCACAACAGGCCAGCGGCGGCCAGCAAGGTCAACAGCTGCTACGCCCCGATGATATACTCAAGCTGCAATGCCTTCCCGAAGACGAGAAGCAGAAGTATCGCTTGATTATGCAGAACTTCTGGACCATCTTCAACAACAACCCGCAAGGCAGCCAGGAGAATACAAACGCGCGTCAGAAGCTGACGGAATGGTCGCAAAAGTTCATCGGACGCGAACGTCAATATCGCGCCAAGATGAAGCAACAGCAGCAACAGGGAAACCAAAACCAAGGACAAGCTGGACAGTCTAGTGCAGCTGGCCAGCAGAATGCCAACGCTGTCAAGCAAGAAGGAGGTCAGGCTCAACCCCAAGGTTCTGGGGCACCAGCCAACCAGCAATCTCAAGGACAACAGCAGCCCAACCAAGGACAGAATCCAGGGCGCGGCCAAGTCGATCCTGCCATCGTCAAGCATGTTCACGACTTCCCCATGCAAGGACCAACAAACGGACCTACGCCAGGCACACCCGAGTACGAGAACAAACTGAAGGAGTATCGGACTGGTTATCTCAACATGCTTGCCAAACAAGCGACGTTAACTGAGCAGCGACGGAGGATTATCCAAGAGTTGACCGAACGGCAGAACAACGGACAGGAGCTACCTCAGGAGCGACTTTTGATGAAGAACAACATCGAGAAGGAGGCTGCTAAGATTAAGGCTCAAATTGATAAGTTCAGAGCTATGCAAAAGCAGTGGAAGGAGGAGCGCGAACAGAATTCCCAAGGCCAGGCACAAGCTCAAGGCCAGAACCCAGCGCAATCACCTCCGCAGCAACAACCACAACCGCCTCAGCGCCAGCCTTCACAGCCCAATATGCCTGCGCAACCCCAGGTGAAAGAGGAGCCCCAGATCAAGATCGAGGGCGGGCAGGCACCACAACCACAACCGCAAACTCAGTCCCAACCTCAGCCGCAATTCAACATGCAGGCCAATCAAGGAAACCTTCAGCAAGGACCGCCGCAGCAGCAACAGATGCAACACAATCAGCAGCTTCCTCAACAGCAACAAATGCAGCAGCAACAACAGCAGCAGGCTCGACCTCCGCCAGCACCTCACTCGCAGACGATGCCACCAAATCAGATGCCGCAGTTTTCGCAACAAGGACAACAGCAACAGAATTTCCACCAGCAGCAGCAACAACAACAGCGACCCCAGATTAACCCTATGCAAGCGAATGCACACCAGCAGAGCAACTCACCACACCCACAGTCCGCCGCGTCCAACGCTCCTGGTCCGCCAGTTCCTCTCTCGCACCAAGCCGCAGTCAGCGCCGCGAACCGGTCCTACACCGACCCTCAACGCACAAACACGCCCATGCAACAGGGCGGACAGGGTGGTAACTTTGGAAGTCGCGAGCGCGAGCAGCTCAACAACCCAAAGATGCCAATCCCACGCCATCTTAATGTGACTTCACCTCAAGCCGTCCACATGGGACAAGCTCGACCTACCATGAGCGGACCTACAAACGGAGCGCCAGGCCCAATGGGTCAACCTGTTATCCCACGACCACCCCCATTCCAGCTCGAAGGTGAGGGCGACCGCGTGCTTAGTAAACGCAAGCTGGACGAGCTTGTTCGGCAGGTAACAGGCGGATCCGAGGAGGCATTGACACCAGAGGTAGAAGAGGTAAGCCATCTCCAAGTCTCATTTCTTACATACAAACATTTCTAACCATTGATCTTGTATAGGCTGTTCTTCAACTCGCAGATGACTTTGTCGACAACGTCATTAGCAACGCTTGCAAACTGTCCAAGCTTCGCGATTCACCTCAGCTCGACATTCGCGACATCCAAGTCATACTTGAGCGCAATTACAACATTCGCATTCCTGGCTACGCATCTGATGAAGTCAGAACTGTGCGCAAGATTGTTCCTGCGCAAGGCTGGGCAAACAAGATGAGCGCTGTCAACGCGGCGAAGGTCATGGGTGGGAAAGCGGACTTCTAGTCTGGGTCCAAGTCCTTGGAAAGAATGATGTTGCCCTAGAAGGAGGAACTTCTATTATTTCATATATTTACGCTGGAAACCGATGGATCTTTCCAGGAAGACGAGGAGTTCAATTCGAGACTCAGAGCAGCATTGTTTCAAGAATTACAATCCACATCCACTACTGATTCGACTCCTGCCTCTCCGTCGCTAGAACAACAGTATCAGCAGCTGCAGCTGCAGCAACAGCACCCCTCAGAGCAAGAAACTTCCAACAATCCGCAAACCAACTCAGTCGCTAATATTACTACGTTCACACCTCTTCCGAATATTCAGTACTATGCCTCAAGACTTAGGTCGCCTATACAAAGAGTCCATCCGCCCAACGAACAACTCAATTTTCCTATCTCAAGCCCCAGTCCGCCTACTTCGATACCTCAATCGCCTACAGAAACACTCGGACTGCCTCCGCTAAGACATGATTCGCCTTTCTTCACACCCAATACGCCTGTTCCAACACCTCCACCAAACGATCCTACTATTACTAGCGTCTCTGCTCCGTCGGTGAGGATTTGCCTCTTGTGCATGACAACTGGCAACAACGATTGCGATGGCAAGAGCGATGACAGAAGTGCCTGTTCACCCTGTGCCATCATTAGAGACCATAGCAATTGCATCGATAGCTTCACGTGGAAGATGGGCACTTCTTCTCGGTGTGTTTCCTGTTATCAGAAGAAAAGAAAGTGTGACCTGAAGAGACCGTGTGGGCAGTGCGTCAAGTATGCTGAAAAATGGAGAAATCAGGGTGGGTGTTATATTCCTCCGAATAACTAGTGCAAAGTGGTGGTCAACTGGGAAGTCGTCAAGTTAGTAGTTTTATGGACTGTTGAATCGAATTGTACGTGTGTAGGTTTGTGCCGTGCTATAAGTGTTCAGGCTCGATCGTACTAGATCATGATGTGAATCGGTGTGTACAGCGAGTCAAGATCACATAAGACACCCAAGCATAGACAAGTGGCGGATGCAATTGATATGTTGCATCTACGCGGTATCACTAAATCCTCATATCCAACTCGTCTACTTCTTCTCTTCTAGCGTCAGACCCTCAATAGCCTTGTCTCCGCCCTCAGTTCCAACATCAACCTTGGCCTTATCCTCACCCTCGACATGTCCATCTGGCTTGGCCTCTACGTTGCGCTTGGGGTGGAAAGTACCCTTGTTCTTGACCTTCTTCTCCTTCTTAACGACAGGTGGTGGTGGGTAAGCCTTTTGCTCGATATCCTTCCATGCCTGGTTAGCCTGGAACTCCTTCTGCACTGGCTCCAAAAGCGCGTTGAGTGCTTCTGTGACGGCGGGCTTGAGGTCTTGAGGTGTAAGGATGTCGTTGGAGTAGTCTTCTTGCATCTTCTTAATGTCTGTGTAGGTGAGGGGCTCGGCGTCGCGGCGCTTGACAACGAATTTGGGCTCGCCGTAGATGAGGTGGCCGGCGGGAAGGAGGACGTATTCGACGAAGCTGAGTACACCGTTGTCTTCGACGACCTTGGGTGCGGCGTGGGCTTTCTTAAGCTTGCGCTTCACGACGTCTGCGTCGTCTAGTACGTCGATCTTGGAGTCGGGGTCCGAAGAGCTCATCTTTCCTCCTTGTAGACCGGGAACCATGGGGTTCATCAAATGTGCGCGCTCCTTGTAGCCGATCTTGGGAAGGACATCCTTTGCGAGCGCGAAGATCTTGCGCTGGTCTACACCTCCAAACTGGACGTCTACATCGAGGTACTGCTCGTCAAGGGCCTGCATGAGTGGGTAGATGAGTCCACTCAAAGGCGCGTTCTCTGTTTGCTTGACAACCTCTGCGCCTGCCTTCTTCGCCGCCGCCTCACTTGTTATACTTGCGAGTCTCAGGAGATCCATGGTGTAGTCTGAGTTCAACTCGTAGCTCGATCCTAGCACAAACTCCAACTTGTCGATTGGCACCTTGACGGCCTTGAGCAGTGCGGTGATGGTGTAGCGGTAGTACTCTGCGCGGAACTTGACGAGCTCGATTGGAGCTTTCAGGTTGTCGAGGAAGCCGTGGATGTCAGCGAGGAGGATCTTGACGTGGCAGCCTGCCGCGAGGAATTGCGCGAGCTTGAGAATAGGTACGAACTAGAACATGTGTTGTCAGCGGTGCACGCGACCATATCTCGCCATGTGTACATACGTAACCGCAATGAGGTCTTCCTGTTGTCGCAGTACCCCAGTAAACCTTCAAGTGCCCTTGCTTCTTCAGCGCCTCGTCCATGATCTCTGGGTTCAGCACCTCGGCCAAGTTGACCTTGATGAGCGCCATCTTCTCTTCCTCAGACATGTTCGCACCAGGGTTGACGAACGACGCCTCTTGAGCTTTTTGTAATCTTGACTTTGCATCCTTGAGTTGTGCTTGTGCTTCTTCGATCCTCTTCTCAATATCAGCAATCTCCTGCTGGATCGCCACGGGGTCTGCCATGGTGTCGGCCGTGGTGGGGTACGAGGGGCAGCTGTTGTGCCAATTGACTTGGAACGGAGAGGGACAATGAGGTACGGATGTCACGAGAGAATGTTCGAGCAGAAACAGCGATTTAAGGTTGTTGTGCTAAGCTCAGCTGAAGTGTACGGGTTGTTAGTGAGTCTTGCGCCCAGCTGAATGAGTCGTTGCGGGGCCGGAAACAGTCACCAAAATAACATTTCCAGGGTCCAGCCACAGCCATGTGGCGCCTGCACCTTCCTCCAAGTAAGCTCGGATGAACTCTACACAACATCTCACAACGATAGACTCGATCGCACTTCTTGCTTACGCCAAGTCTATCGAGACACTATCCTTCAGCTCTTCGTGCACTGTGCGCCTAGCGCAGATTCTGCCGTCATGTTCAATTCCCGGACAGGTACGTACGCGATTCAGCTACTTCATGATGTGACCCTGTCACATAGCAGGTTCTAGCGTTTTTGCTATGTCCTGTGGAACAGCTTGTAAGGCAAGTGATATAATTGCGTTGTTTTGTACCTCTTCAATACTACGATATCGTCACAAGTAGAATGAACAGCCTTAGCAGAGTCTTGTCAGAAGAGTAGCACTTGCTTGTCGAACACATTATCTATCCCAGGTATGTCTCGCTTCGTCCTAATGAAAACACACTACATCCTAGTTGTGCCAGTTCCTCTACCTCTACCTGTTGTCGCGCATCGAATACCCACTTTGGACTCCTCATGCAATTTACAATGCGCTCCCATTCTACGTGCTGATTGCATGGACCTTGATGTTGCTGTTCATCAACAAGAGAGCACCTTGAACACCCACCCGGGCAAGCTGGTCCTGACTTCAGGTAACCTTCCTGATTTTCCACGACCCCAGGAAGGGTTAACTTAACGTAACCATCCGGATGGGTGACCAGGATGTCGTCATAATTGACCTTTGTCTTCTTAGAACGATCTAGTGGAGCAGGTGGATAGCTGAACGCGGCCCAGGGTGTAAGTATCAGGACCGCGGAAGCCCCGTCGCAAGCTTGGTATGGGTTCGAACAAGCTTTCAACGGACATTTACTACCTCGAAATGATTGCGAAAGCTGGATGTCCAAAAGATAAGGGTCGCATCCTGGATCGTAGATGGTGATACGCCCTGGACGTTCCTCCAAGAGTCGTTGAATGACTTGAATAGACTGAGAGTCGCGTGCGTCCGATGTATTCTCCTTGAAAGCGAAACCGAAAATCGCCAATTTCTCAGACCTCAACGTCCCATGGAACGACTCAACTACCTTGCTAACGAACCGATCGACTTGCCAGACATTGACGTCGATCACAGACCTCCAGTAAGATGCAACCTCGGGAAGATGTAGGGCCTCAGCGAGATAAGAAAGGCTTAGAGTATCCTTCTTCAGACATGACCCTCCAAAACCAAGACCTGACTGGAGATAGTCACAGCCAATCCGAGAATCCAGACCGATGGCATGGGAAACATCGGCTATGTCTGTACCAGTGGCTTCACAAATTGCACTAATCGTGTTGATGCTGCTTATTCTTTGCGCCAAGAAGGCATTCGACACTAGTTTGGATAGCTCCGCTGACCACTGTGTCATTTGTAGGATCTTCTTGGGCGGTATCCAATGGTAAAGTGCAGCAAGCTTCTCGGCTGCTGCAAGTCCTGTAGATGTCTTTTGCGACCCTATAAGGATGCGTGAAGGCCTCAACAGATCCGCTATCGCGGTCCCTTCGGTAAGAAACTCAGGATTTGAAAGAACTTCAAATGGAACGCCTGGGCGGAGATATTGTAACTAAGCCAGACAGTTAATCGCTTGTATTCGCTGAAAGATTGGATAGGCGAAACACTCACCACACCTTTGATCATGTCCACTGTCTTACAAGGTACTGTACTCTTCTCTACAATGATGGCTCCTGGCTTCGCTTCTGCAGCTATGATCTCGACTGCTGACTTGAGGTCTGCAATATCAATTGCAGACCCAGCGCCCTGTCCAAAAGTTTTCGTAGGTGTACTAACCGCAAGAAAGATCATGTCCGCCTCGCTGACGTGCTGGGCGAGATGTGCTGAGAAACCAAGGTTGGCCAAGCGAGTGCTTCGACCTGTTGTCTTCTGATAAAGGCCATCCCGGGCGATTCGAACTACCACATCGAGACCAGCTTCATTGATCGGCAAGTGGTTTGAATTCCAGTGAGCGATTTTACTTTCGTCAATGTCAACAACGTTGACTTGTATTTCGGGATTGGTTAGCGCTGTTACTGCTGCGTTTGTGCCCCCTGTATCACAGTTAATATGGAATGTACAGGATATTGGATCAACTGGAGAGAAAGAGATTCATACCGACATAGCCAGCGCCAACATAGCAGATGTTTGAGATTTGCATCAGTTCATGATCAGATTCTTCGGTCGTGCTCGTTCCCGGTGTTGACAAAGAGTCTAATATCGACGAAATGGTAGGCGTCTCTATTGCTACTTCGACATTGTCCTGTGGCATACTATTATCGATACGAGCATCTGATGGCAGTGAATTCATAATCTTTGAGATCCTCCACGCTACACTGATCCTACTGTAAGATATCAAGAGAAGATAGGAACCTTTCGTTGAATTTCGAGCAGCTTTATCCCAGTCCAAATATGTCACAACGTCTGACGATGCATTGAGGCTCTGTCAACACCAGACGTGATATGATAGCCGGCAACTTTGGCCCCCCACCGGAATCCGGAACATCATGTACCGTCCTCGGGTCAAGCGCGGAATCATTGGTCCACAGCCGCTCTTCATGATACCTCAATCTTGCTAATTCTCTCTAGCGACAGTAGGATCGCAAGCGCTGGGCCACATCGCCAAGATGGATCACGCATAGAGAAAGCAGGGTGTGAGCATAAATCATCGTATTGTCTCGAAGAGTCGATCCTACCATTTGAGATCTCTCCGTCCTAGCGTTACCGTCGCTTAGACCGCTTTAGGCCACCAAAACAGGGATGCAAGAGCAGCGGGATCCATGATTCTCATAACTTAGACCGGTTTAGCTTGGAACGAGACGATCGGAGGTCCTTCTCAGAAACTGCTCGTAATACCCAGCAACCCCGAAGGGAAAAATGAAGCTCCTGCATTTCATTCGCATCTATCAGCCTGACGGCCGACAGTTCATGGTTGGCTAGACCACTATGAGCGCCCTGTCGGCGCTTATCTTCTACAGATTGCCACTGCAGGCCATGGTCACACATTCATCTCGGAGATGTAGGGGACAGACTGGCGATTGGATAGATTCGAGCCACCAACATACCTTTGCATCCATGGTTAGGTCATATTACCGGAAGCAAGAAGTCTCAAATACCATAGAAAGGCTATGGGTCAGCTGCAAGACGTTACCCTGGTATGTCACACGGTGTGTCAGGACGGAGCGCTGAAGTGTAGATGCGCCTCACTGCAGACGAGAGCCTTGGAAGACACTGCTGCATCAAACACTTCCATACATCTAGCGAAGAAAACGATAGAACCAGTGACCGATCGTCCCGTCTCCGACAGTTCTAAATTCCATCAGACTCACGTCCGTTGTCCTCCCTCAAATTGAACGGGATTCCAATCCTACGCCAAGCTATTGATAGCACACGGGGTGTGAGCAATCACATTGTTCTGAAATCCGTGCCAATCTTCCTGAGCTACTGTTCCATCCACGCAAGACTATTGGTGATGCGGCTCCTCGAAATCGCGCCTGACGGCTCTTCTTTGTCCTTCACGAACGACTTGCTTGACAAAATACCTCCTTATGTGATCCTGTCTCATACATGGGGAAATGATGAGGACGAAGTTACCTACGATGATATAATCACAGGTAACGCAGAGAACAAGGCGTACGGTTATGCAAAGATACGGTTTTGCATGAAGCAGGCTTGTCTTGATGGCATTCGGCACATGTGGGTAGATACCTGCTGCATTAACAAGTCTAGCTTTACCGAGCTCTCACAAGCCATCAACTCTATGTTTCGCTGGTACAAAGAATCTGCAAGATGCTATGTTTACCTCCCGGACGTCTCCATAAACCAAGTACCAGACGAGATATGGAAGTCGAATTTTCTCCAGAATCGATGGGCCACTAGAGGGTGGACACTCCAAGAGCTGTTGGCACCTTCATCTGTGGAGTTCTTCTCTTCCGAAGGTCAGAGAATCGGGAACAAGCAGACGCTTGAAGCTCTCTTGCACGACATGACGGCTATCTCCATTGACGCGCTTCGAGGCACACCGCTATGTGAATTCACAGACCTCGAACGTATGTCATGGATGGAGAAGCGGCAGACGAAACATCCTGAAGATAAAGCGTACGCTTTACTTGGGATGTTTGATGTACAAATGCCTCTGATCTATGGCGAGGGATCTCGCAACGCATTTGCACGACTCCGAGAAACCATTAAGCTTCATTCTGGTCGCAGGAATCATGTAGCAAGTGAGTTCGTAATCTAGAATCATACTTTTAGTGTTAAAACCACATCTAACTTTGTATAGGTATCACGAAGTGTCATAAGGTCATACCTTTCGGAAGAAGGACTGACTTCGTTGGTCGACAAGACATCTTGGAAAGCTTGATGACCAAGATTCCCCCGAACGTCAACAAAGACGCCTGCCAGATGACAGTAATTGAAGGCCTAGGAGGAATCGGCAAAACTCAAATCGCTCTTGAGGCTGCTTATCGTGTACGCGAGAAGAACCCTGATTGTTCCGTCTTCTGGATACCAGTAGTCGACAAGAATACCATCGAAAACGCATATCGAAAGATAGGCAAAGCATTGGAAATACCTGGCATCGACGATAATCGGGCGGATGTAAAGTCTTTGGTCACAAACGCTCTCTCAGATGATAGCTCTGGCCCTTGGCTTCTTGTTTATGACAACGTAGACGATATTGACCTCATGTTTGGTTCAGAAGAGGAAAGCTGTTTCTATGACCCTCTTCCTGCCAACCCCAATGGATCGATCTTGTGCACAACCAGAAATCATGAAGTCACGATCCGGTTCGACATAAGCCTCGATAACGTGTTATCGGTCCACGAGATGAACGAAAACGAAGCTTTGCAATTGCTACGCCAGAAGTTGAAAGAACCTCAATTGCGACACCTTCAAAGCACCCACGAACTGCTGGAATTCTTGGCGTATCTGCCATTAGCCATTCGACAAGCATCGGCGTATATGGCAAGAACAAACATGACAACCACAAAGTATCTGGCTTACTGCAAGTCTTCCGATCAGACTCAGATCAATCTTTTGAGCCAACACTTTGACGATAAGAGTCGATACATGTATGACAATAAGGCCAATCCTATCGCGACAACATGGCTGATATCGTTCAAACATATGAGCGACAAGTATCCGTTGGCAGCTCAGTATTTGATGTTCATCTGTTATCTCGCCGAGAAGGACATACCTACTTCAATCCTTCCGCAACAAGACGACGAATTGGAAAGGGATCAAGCTATTGGCGCACTTGAAAACTACGCATTCATCTCGCTTAGAGATGATTCGGATTCATTCGACATACATCGCCTCGTGCGATTAGCGGCACGAAATTGGACGAAACAACAAGGCAAGATGCAGATCAAAGCAGCCATAGAACATATCTCAAGCGTGTACCCAGACCCGTCAAACGACAACAAGTCCACGTGGATAAGGTACTTACCCCATGGAGATGCCGCATTGGACACTTGGACTAGAGAGAACAACGACAACGTTGGCTGGAAACTCTTGATCAAAACTGGAGAGTCTCATTTCATAATCGGCAAAGCTCAACTAGCGGAGTCGAAATACCGGCAGGCTTCAGAAATCAGTGAGAAAACATTAGGATTAGACCATCCAAAAACTATCGCAAGTATCAATGGTCTCGCCACTATGCTTCGTCAACAGGCAAAGTATAGCGAAGCTGAAAAGCGACAACACCAGATTCTCCAATCAAGTACGAAGATGTTAGGCCCAAAACATGCCAACACAATCGCCGTCATGAATGGCCTAGCCGAGCTATACCGCCAGTCTGGCAGATATCACCAGGCTGAGCCAGAGCATGAGCAGACTTTACGCCTGTGTTCTGAGTCATTGGGAGAGGGTCATCGAAACACATTGGCTAGCATGAACAACTTAGTCATTGTGCTATTTCAGAAGGGAGATTACCAGAAAGCAGAATCCTTGTGTCGAGAAGCGATTCAAAAGAAGACTGGCTTGCTTGGGCCAGACCACGCAGACACACTTGCGAGTATGAATAGCCTGGCTGTGATCTTTGATCTGCAGGGAAAGTACGAAGAATCTGAACGACAACACCGAGAAAACATGCAACGAAATTCCGAGGTATATGGAGGCGAACATCCCGAGACAATGGCATGTGTTACAAATCTGGCGAGTGTTTTGTATAGACAAGGCAAATACAACGAGGCCGAACGACAGCATAGATGGGCCATCGAAGCGATAACAAAAGAAGCGACGCGAGATCATCCCGATGTACTCGCTAACGTCAACGGCCTAGCTGAAGCAATTCGACAGCAAGGTCGATCTCACGAAGCAGAACAACTACATCGGGCAACCTTAAAATCCATAATGAACATACTTGGCCCAGACCATCCGTCAACTCTTTTCGTAACTACTAACCTGGCAGCCACTCTTTTGCAACGAGGGAACCATGATGAAGCAGAGGGTCTCTTTCGACAATCACTAGCTCTGAAAACCAAAATTCTTGGGCAAGACCATCCATCCACTGTATCGAGCGCCAGCGGTTTGGCTGATGTGCTCTTAGCACAAAAGCGCTATGAAGAAGCAGAGGGAAAGTACCGCCATGTTCTCCACTCCAGGATTCGCATTTTGGGTATTCACCATCCTCTTTCGGTCACTAGCATGAACAATTTCGCATTTGCATACTGTCTTCGGCGAAGAAACTGGGTTGGAAGAACTGCGCAGATGGCCTAGTGCAGTCAGTAAACGCTGGCTCATCTGCGTCACATTACAACTCTGCGTGCTTGCGCATCGACTTTAAAGATAGTGTTTGGGTTAAAGGCAATAGAATTCATAGCAAGCTGGAGGACAACTTATGTACATATATACATGTAAACGAACTGTATTAAAAATGAAATCCTATTCAGGCTAAGCATTGTCTCATCCAACTTTAACTCCTGGGTCAGCAGACGAGTTCTACTTGAGAGAGAAGGTCCAGCTAAGAACCCAAAATTACAAGACCGTGAAAGAATCTGCCTGACCAAATCAAAGACAACTTCACAGGCTGTGTGGCAGAACGTAGTAAGAAAGTACAATTTCCACTTTAAGTCAACCCATCAGCGCTGTCTGTTCATGCATTGTTGCATCTGAACTCTCCTTGCTTATGCTCGGCGTTTCATCCATTTGGAGCAACTGAACCGTGCCATGATGCTGTGGAGTGTTGGCGTAGATAGTCTCACCTTGAGGAGCAGATTGGACTGTTTGCAGACCGCTGCTAGGACTTGTAACCATGTTGACGAATGTCTCGACATCCCTTCGCAATACATTCAGGATGTCGGAATTTCCATCTTGATTATGGAACAAAGAAAAGGTTTGATCAGGAATTCCTTTCGATGTAGCGTGACATGCTTCGCCAACGGCATCGAATGCCTCATGCAGGTCATCTAATGAGCCTGTTGCCTCGAATAGCTTGTAATGTTTCGTTCCCGTGGCCAGCAAGACAGCCGCTTCCGAAGTGGATCGCTCTTGGGTGGTCGTCTTCTCGGTCGTACTAACAGTTTCTTTTGAATTGCCGACACTGTCCCTTCGTTGTCTCTTTGCGGGTCTCGGGACATCGGCCGATCGAAACATGCTATCTTGGTCTAGCGGTACATGATAATAGATAGTGGACCTGCTCATTATCACCGGTCAGTGAACCGTAAGACATGGGGTTTCTAGCGAGTGCTGCACTGACATCGTCCTCAGGCAGAAATTCACCGTCTGGGTCAGGAAGAGAGTCACTGGAGGGTCAGGGTTACAGAAAGCTTGCACGACAACCCTTGTTGGTAAAGCCGATGCGAGATTTAGCTGCTTGATGGTACAAATTTATGAGGTAGTCTAGCCTGAGTATGTGCTAGCAACAGCGGGGACCAGTAGACCTGGAAAATTGAGGCTCAACGGGTCTACTCATATGGAAGGCGAGTCTATGCGGAGCAAACCCCTGCGACATCTTGCAAAATGGCCCCTACAAGAATCCTTGTGGAAGCTGAAAAGAGGGGTAACCCCTCTTCTCACCTCATTTGGGATACCTGCATCTCAGGCTGTAAACACAGAGTACATCTGCGATGCGTGGCGCCGCGTTGCATGATACCTAAGTAGATACCTGCATATGCTTTTGTGTGTCTGCCTGTAAACCGGCTTGATTTGCTGGGCGATCCTTCACCGGCTGGCTCCATCCCTGGAGATACAATGCGGGCGTCATCTCAGCCATACATATTGCTTTTCATCCCCCAAAGTAGAGCTGGCATGCCACGAGTTCGTATCGCTTAATGTAAGACGGGCGCAACCGGTGAAGCTACGATAAGGTTGGGGTAAGATGATCGCTTGTCGCTAGTTTCAGTACTGTAAGCTATTTTGACCCGGTTCGACGGTACTAAACCTAGCTAAATATTACAGGTTTCCAAGTGCAGCCTCAAGTGCCTAGGTGGCGTGAACATTGCTCAGGTAGCGTGAACACTGCTCAGGTGGCGTGAACATTGCCTCAGGGCTTCACAAAACCTATTTCCTAGGAAGACTAAAGTATCCCATTCTTGAGTACGCTGATCCTTCCATCCTCCTCTTCTCGCATTTCGATCGCAACCTGCAAAAGATCTTAAGGATGTCCGCCGATTATGTCATTGTTGGTGGTGGCACTGCAGGTCTTGTTGTCGCTAACAGACTTTCTGCCAACCCCAACACACGAGTAGTGTTAATTGAGCCAGGGGAGGACGATAGAAACAACCCCAACGTTACGGATCCACTGAGACGCGATGAAAACGCCAACACCGCCATCGATTGGTCGTATAAATCGACCCCACAAGCCCAAATGAACGATCGTAGCGTAGAGTTTATCGCTGGGAAAATTGTCGGAGGAACAAGCATGATCAATGGCATGATGTACATCCGAGCTGCTACAGCAGAGATCAACGGTTGGGAAAGACTTGGAGCAAAAGGATGGAACTGGAATTCTTTGTGGCCTTTCTACAAGGGTCTTGAACGGTTTATCAACCCAACTCCTGAGCAGAGCGACTCCGGTATCAAAGTCGACCCGGAGTTTCATGGAACGAATGGCGACCTGGCTGTCAGTTATCCGACTCAGCTTCCTACTGAACATCTCTCGTCCGCCCTAGCAGATACATGGGAGACCTTGGGGGTGCCTACCCGCTCGGATGCAAATGGCGGCATGGTTGAGGGCTATACTACTCGGCCAATGATGATCGATAGTAAGTCAGGAGTTCGTGCCAGTGCCGCTGTGGCATTCTACTATCCGATATCCGATCGCAAGAATCTCAGTCTCATTCAAGGTACTGTTCTCAATCTTACGTGGGGTGATCGTACAGAAGAAGATAGTCTATCAGCTGATGGGTGTCAATATCGAGATGGGGACGGCAAGCTACATAGCGTCAGACTCAGTGAAGGTGGTCAGATCATACTTGCAGCGGGTGCATTAGCAACTCCAGCCATTCTTCAAGCGTCAGGCGTTGGAAGCTCATCTCTCCTCAACGATCTCGGGATACAAGTTCAACTCGACCTTCCTGGAGTCGGAGAAAACTTACAAGATCAACCAGATCTTACATTCTCATACAGTCCAAAGAACCCAACCCCGGATGCCATCACCCCTTACGCAGCATTCGTCACAGCAAAGGATGTGTTCGGGGAAGAGACAGAATCTATGGCAGCGTATGTGTTTCACGGTCATTGCCAGTCGTCTGAAAGCCAACTACGACTTATAGTATCAGAGAGATAGACTAACAAATTCCTAGTTCCACAGAGGCGAATTTGCGCGGATGGGCCGAGATTGTTGCGTGCGCCAACAAGCACGTTGGACCAGATGCGATTGAAACAATATTTCGGCATCAACATGGTCTAATCTTCAAAGAAAAACTTGCCATAGGCGAGATAACAATGACGTCATCTACGAAAATGTCGTCCGAATACTGGTCCCTGCTTCCATTCTCCAGAGGAAGCGTTCGGCTTAGCTCCAGAGCGGAAGACGGGACATACGAGGTAGACATCGATCCCAGATTCTTCCAGATTGATTTCGACCAAGACTGCTTCACTAAGCTCGGTCGATTGGTACAAAAGTTCTGGTCAACAGCTCCAGCTGCAGAGAAGGTGACATCGAAAATCGAACCAAAGAATGAAAAACTACCGGATGATGCATCGACTGAACAATGGAACTCTTACGTCAAGGAAAAAAGTAAGTCCTTCGCCTGAGCCATAGATTCTGGTTCTAGTGATCTGACTAATTCGCTGTTTAGCTGTCGCCAATCATCATGTCCTTGGCACAGCAGCCATGATGTCGCGTGAATTGGGAGGCGTTGTTGACGAGAATCTGAAAGTATATGGGACTCGGAATGTGAGAGTGGTTGACGCCTCCGTTATTCCAATGCAGGTTACGGGCCATTTAGCATCGACAGTCTATGCTGTTGCTGCGAGAGGAGCAGATCTGATTCTGAATGGTAACTAAGAGGTTCGAAGGCCTTAGCCTGTACGTCTCTCGGCTCCATCGTCACACCTTGAGGCTTCTGAAGTGTGTGGTGATCTTGTTTTTGAGAGCCTCTCTTGCGCATGAAGCATCTGGGTTCCTGAGCTCATGAGTCGCTCTCTGGTCATGAATCATGGCCATAATATTGGATCCACACCTCACGATAGCCACTTGTGTCCATAGACCATCTATCGTTACCTTCAATAGCATAGTGTTATTTGTGACAGAAATACAACTAGCTAGACAGGACAATATTCACTACACTACTTGCCGTGTAGAGATGATCGGATCCACAGTGCCTTCTAGTATTTAGTAGCATATACTGGTCGATTCATGCCCACCCACGGTCCCGATGGTCCAACCATTTCAGGCTTCAAGTCGGCAACAGTAGCAGCCCCTATGTTCCACATAGTATATGAGATTTCTTCGCGGAGAACTGCACAGACATCAGTCTTCTCTCACATAGAATAGACGTGCAAGAGTAGGTTTGGCAAAACATCACACTTACTCTCGATCGCTCTTCGAACGCCGTCCTCCCCATGAGTAGCATTGGCGTAGAGAAAAGTGCGGCCGAAGCCTACAGCTTTGGCCCCCAATGCAAGTAATTTCACGACATCAGCACCGTATCGAACACCTCCATCAACCAGGATATCGATCTTGTCAAACAGATCGGGTCGGTAGGTTCTGAGCTCGTAAAGAATATCGATCGGCGCCGGTGCGTAGTCTAGTTGTCGACCTCCGTGATTCGACTGATGGCATGTCAGGGTCAACATCGGCAACTAGGTGCTCATGGGCGCAATATGACTTACAATCATCACTGCATCAGCACCGTTATCCACACACAGCGCAACATCCTCGATAGTCTGTACTCCCTTGACGATGATTGGAAGCTTGGTCTGGCGCTGTTGACAGTCAACACATATCCTAGTTAAGCCTCAGAAGCGGACCAGAGAAGCACAAGATACGTACCCGAATCCACGAAATGTCGTTCCATGATAGATTCCGATCTTGACGCCCGCCCATAGCCATGAAAGCCCCAAGTGAGGCTTTCGGGAGTTCACCGCCATGACGAGTCTCCAAAGTCCTCTTCGACCACCAGCCTACGTCGACTGTGAAGATGATGGCTTTGGCACCAAGACGCTCTACCTTTTGAAGAATCTCAGTGGTCAAGTTGCGATTCACGTCGATGTAAGTCTGTGCATGATCCCATAAGATACTACATGATCGTAAAAGAGCGAAGACAAACCTGGTAAGCCATAAACTGATCCTCTTTCTTCGCTGCAAATATTTCTTCGAGAGTGCAGCTTGCATTTGCCGATACCTGACTTGGTGATTAGGCTGCCTCGAATGTTTGAATCACACCAAGTGCTCACAGATTGGAAGATTCCAGCGTCTCCGGCGGCTTTGGTCAGATTGATCTCGCCTAACGGATGGCCAAGTTTGCACATGGCGGCGGGTGCGATGTAGATCGGCAGTTCACTTTCATAACCTAGGAATGACGTCTTTATGGAGCCATTAGACATGTCTCGAAGCATCCGTGGTCGAAAGGAATAACGGCGCAAAGCATCCATACTTCCCTCGTAAGCTACACTATTGTGAGTATGTATTGTGTATCTGGCGAAATCTCAGGCGCCATCTCACTTACATCTTTCTTGGTCAGCCGCGCTTCGGTAATAGTTCCAAGCAACATCAGTGAGGATGTTCTGGGCCCAGTCTTCGAAATCTGGCAAGACTATCATTTTGTCGACCGTAGGAAGAGCTTCACGGGCTCTCCGTAACTCTTCATCGTTTCCTGGCGAGTGTTCACCGTTGGTTGGCGGCACGGTGACTGGATTGACAGCATCAATGTGTGCTTCTGATTGCAATTGATTTGGTGCGTCTCGAACAGGATTCAGACCATCATCTTTCTGGCCATCCACAGAGGGAGTCGGATTTGCTTGTTCGTCTGGCATTATCTCATATGCTCGAGTTCGCAAACTTGATGGAACAATGTGAAAGGACTTGTGGTGTAGGGTCGAACTATTATCGAGGCTGGCGTTTTCAACGTCAAGTATGCAACTCAATGATGATTTAAGCTCACGCACATTGGCCGAGTATGGTGGTGTGATGAGCGACGTGCGATAACAGACGGGAGTTCGGGTGTTTTCCGGCTGTGGAACGTTTCCAAGGGTTGGCAAAGCTAGGTTGCGTCGGTCAAACCGCAGATCGCATGCACTGGTCATGAGCTTTCTGCATAGGGCATAGCGCTTGTTCATTCAACACTTTCTGTATCGTTCAATGATGACACCACTTGCATCACGGAAGGACAATCTATGTTGTTCCTATTGGAGGCTGAGGAAAATGTGACGAGAAAGCTCTCTATTCTTGAACACGGGAATTAGCGAGCTCGAGATCCTGAAACCCCTGCCAAATCTGCCCTTCCAGCGGTCATCGGTCGATGCGTCTCAAAAACCGGTCAGCAATATGTCGTGGGTAACGTGGATCAAAAGCATGAGAGAAATGTCTCTCTACAGGTAAAGAAACAATATCAGTGTCCTCACAACTCATCGCGCTGGACCAACGCAAGCTCGTCATTCATGCTAAGGGATAGACCATCGCAATCAATAAGACAGGCACCCAAGATTTTCTAGGTCTAAGATATATTCTCTGGCTATGCGTGCTCCCGTCTACCCCGAACTTCGGATTCGTAAGTGCTAGTTGTGGTGGTCGCGCAACGCGTACTTGTTATGTGATTCAACGGGGGGTCAACACGTCCACTTGATCGAGTTCGATTTCGATATTACACGCGAAAGCCAAGCAGCGTTATGGCTTGATTTATGTGCAATCCGTATTAAGGCTACGTTCGAAAGAAACATTTCAAAGGGCTGTGAGAGTCCATGCATGTGTCTTACATTGCAGGATACAGGCATGAGACGCAATCGTTCCAAGGTTGTGATTGGACAGCGGTTGGCGTTTGGAATCCTCAGCTCACCTGCCATTGGTCCACGTGGCGTACAACCATAGAGGCTGTACTTCCTGCATTTGCCAAAAGACGGATTCGTTGTAGTCTCACGACTTTGGCGAATTAACACCACGCAATAGAACGATACGGAGCTAAAATCGTGCGTACCTATACACAGAAGTTGTCTAAGTGTGATCAGGCGATAGGGGAAACGCCTGTAAGAAAGCCTTATGTGCTATTTGTATCGCCTCTCATGTTGTGTTCCAGCCTTGCGCCCAAAAGAATAAAGAGTGATAGGTTTGTCTTCTGTTCTGAGTCTACCGAAATTGAAATACTCCAAGAAACCATAGGTATCATACGATCAAAAACATGGCTCCATCCAGAACACCACGCGTCGCCCTACTAGGTTGTGGCCCATGGGGCAGGAATCTTGCCCGCAGTTTTGCTCAGTGGGGAGCACTTGATACCATTGTCGATGCTGTGCCGGAGCAGGCAATCCAATTAGCAGAATATATAGCAAATCAGGGGTTTCATCAACCAACCATCTCCAGCTGGGAGGAAGTACTCAAAAACACCCATATTGATGCAATCGCGCTTGCAACACCAGCACCAAAGCACGCTGACATGGCGGTTACATGTTTGGCAGCTGGCAAACACGTCTTCATCGAAAAGCCTTTCGCTCTGTCAGTCGAGGATGGAAATCGCGTTATCCAAAAAGCAGCAGAAACGGGAAACAAAATTGTCATGATTGGCCACCTCTTCCAATATCACCCTGCTTTCATCAAACTCAAAGACATGGTACGAAAAGGACGACTCGGTGTCATCCAGCACATACATTCCCGTCGGCTCAACTTTGGTCGCGTTCGTGAGGAGGAAAACGCTTTTTGGAACCTTGGTGTGCACGACTTATCCATGATTCTCACACTAGCAAATCAATCCCCCGATATCGTCACGGTTCAGGGGTTCCATCATCTTCGCCAAAACATCGCAGACGTCGCCTCTGTAGCCTTATCGTGGTCATCTGGGCTTCAAGCGCATATTCACGTTTCGTGGTTGTATCCACAAAAAGAAAGAAAGATGATAGTCGTGGGAGATATCGCAACCGCGGTTTTCGACGATTGCGAACCATGGGAGACCAAGCTTCGCGTTTTTAACAACAGTTTCCAGCATATCGATGGTGTTCTACAAGCTATGAAGGGTGGTTGCGAGGCGATACTTCTCCAAGTTCAAGAGCCACTCGATGCTGAATGTCGAGAATTTCTTGACTGCGTGGAAAGCGGACGTCGCCCTATCACCAGTACGCTTGAGGCGCTACCTGTTGTTGAAGTTTTAGGTCGAATAGAAGCTGAGATCCAGAAAAACCGATTTGACAGCCACCCCGTTGTGAACGAAGCGGTAGAGATCGACTATCAGATGCCCTCGGATCAACGGCATGATAGCATCACTGAAACGACGGAGCAAGGCGAAGTTGACAATCTACCCGCCGAAGATCAGGTTGATGAGAAAGTGAACAGGATAGGTCAACACTGCGAGAGCAGTATACCACTGCTTGACCTCGCGACTCAAAGAGAGAAACTTCAGGACAAGCTAGACGACAGGATAGCGAGGGTATTTCAACATGGAAAGTTTGTCCTCGGGCCCGAAGTCCAAGAGCTGGAGTCCAAGTTATCCGATTTCACCGGCGCCGCTCATGTCGTCACCTGCGGAAGTGGGACAGGTGCTCTAACATTATCGCTGCTCGCTCTAGGTATACAACCAGGGGATGCCGTACTTGTTCCAGATCTGTCTTTTGTCGCCACCGTGGAACCGGTGGTATTGCTTGGTGGGATCCCCGTGTTCGTGGATGTTGAGCCGCAACACTTGACAATCAATGCGACGCTGATCGATGCAGGTGTCATGGCTGCTAAGAAGGCAGGACATCGAGCAGTCGGTATCATTGCAGTCGATCTTTATGGACACCCTGCCGACTATGACGCATTAAATGAAGCTGCAAGTCGTCACAACCTGTGGATCATTGGTGATGCAGCACAAAGCTTTGGTGGAAGCCTTAATGGGCGCCGTGTTGGTACGCTCACCCAAGTGACCACGACGAGTTTCTTTCCCTCGAAACCGCTTGGATGTTATGGCGACGGTGGCGCCGTATTCACAGAGGATAGAGACTTTGCGCATATTTTGAAATCCCTACGTCAGCACGGTCTTGATGAAACAAAGTCGAATGGCTTACGCATTGGATTGAACAGTCGACTCGACACGATCCAGGCAGCCATACTCCTTTGCAAGCTGGATCTGTTATCCGAAGAGAGGAAAAACAAAGAGAAAGTCGCGTCGCGATACTCATCCTTATTGCAGAGCGTGGTTGAAGTGCCTACTACACGTCCAGGCACGCATTCTGCTTGGGCTGCGTATACAATACGGTCGAAACATCGTGACACAGTCAAACAACATCTTCGAGACCATGGCATCGCCTACGCAATTTACTATTCCATACCTTTCCACAAGCAGGATGTGTATCAGCGATTTCCAGTGATCGAAGGGTCTTGTCCTGTCACTGAGCGTGCTTGCGAAGAGATCATTAGTCTCCCGGTAGGTCCTTATCTAAGCTCTACTACACAGACACGTATAGTAGAAACTATACGCAAGGCCTTAGGCTGAGGAAGTTCTGAATTGGTGTTCTGTTGCAAGGTCAGATACAGGTTTTTGGAAAGTGTGAGTGTCAGAACCGACACAGATCGCGTAAAGAATGACAGTTTCTTTGGTGAACAAACCTCTGCTGTTCACACGTATAGATAAGCGTATTACTGATAGCTATCGAAATGGTCATTACCATATGCGAGTACCTAACGACCGCTTCTCAAATCCTTCAGAATCCTCTGTATGACAGGCTAAAGTGCGATGACTGCCTCGGTGAGACTGGGCACCGGTACGTCGTTACCAGTAATTGTGGCCATATTATATGCTGTCGTTTTGAACACCTCACTGGGGATTCTTCAACGGGCCTGCCTTGGGCGATAGGCATGCTCGAAGAGATCGAGAACGCAGTCCTCATAGTCCGCAAAGGCGATGGCCATGGAAACGTGCCTCTGGGCGGAGAGACAAGCGACCCAGTTGGCAGGTACTTGATCACTGGGGAGGCGCCTGCAGAAAGATTCCTGATGACAAGCTCGTGATAACTGCTGCACCCATCCCACCTTCTCTCGGCGACTGCATGCTAGAACTACCTCCACGAGGTGTCATGCTAAGATTGGATAGCAGAGTTGACAGATGTTGGTGGGGGAAGTGTAATGCAGAAGTGGAATAGCGTGGGCACAAGCCTTCTATCAAACCTGGTTGCAAGCTTAGGTACAACAATGAATTAGACGAATAAGCATTGCAAGAGGAGTTATCTTCGGTAAACAAGTGTTTTCTGTTCGCATATTTAAAGGAGTGTATAGACAAGAAGTAGACAAGATCTAAGGTAAATCCACAAAGAAGTAAAACCAATAACCAATACCACCAATCGCTCAAAGGATCTAACCCGCGCCGTCGCTATGTATGTCGAATTAATGCTGTCGTGTTCTCATATGCTCGCCCTCAGGTTTTTCTCAACTGCATTGTGCGTCCCTTAGCCGGATTTGTATCCACACTTGGCCATGCAGACTTTGACATCCGTGACGAGGTTTACCGGAAGGGATTTGGCGAACTGATCAATGTCCTTGGCGTCGATTTGCTTTGGCTTGTGTTAGCATAGTGGCAACCTTGCAAGATAGGTAGGACTTACCTTGAGGCCGAGGGTAGCATCAACGACCTGAGAGTTGAGGGCAAAGAAGTTCTGCGCAATCTGACTGGTACCGGGGTCCTCAGAGTTGAGAGTCGCCACGAAAGTCGCATCTTCGCAGTTGTTGTTGAATTGGTAGTGGATGGAACCTTGGGGGAAGACAGTGCCGTCGAACTTGTGGAGGTAGCCTGCGACTTCTGGGTTCTTCATAGGTCCAACAATAGTGTTCTCTAGGACATAACCAAACTCAAGGTTGTCACCTTCGACGAGGGTGAGGAACTCCGTGGCCCGTGGATGTATGTGAGGAGAGTTGATTCCGCAGGGCTTGAGGAAGCCGACAGTGGTGCTGATACCAAGGCCGGTAAGGATAGGGAATTTCTCGATGTTCTGAAGCAAGAATTAGTATAGGTCATGGTAATTGAGGCAGTAATGAACTTACAGCTGCAACCGCAACACCACCGGTTGAGTTCTTGGGCGGCGTAGTAGTGTTACTGAACGTGAAGACGGTCGCCTTGCGGAGGTCCGTTCCAGTGAGGAGCTCTGCGTTGTCCGATGGTCCCGTAGTCAGGAGCTTCTGGAAACGCTTGACAGCGGTAGGGGCTGTCAGGAGGGCACCAAAGTCGACAGGCGGCGAAGAGGATGCTGCTGGGGCAGCAGAGCTAGCACTAGCGACCATATCTTGCCTCGCCCCAAGACGCTGAGGAAGGGCTTGGACTGCACCAAGAGCGAGCGAAGCGACGATAACTTTGGTGATGGTGAACATGATTACTGATTAAGAAGCGAAGGCTTGAATAAACAGAAAGGAAACAAGGAGATAGTGGAAAATAAAGAGGAAAAGATGAGACTGTAGTATGGTTTCTTGGTTGTGAGTAAGGAGATGATTCTTTCACTGGTGGCCTACGATGCCTTACTTATACCTACATGATTGTTGTCTGTCTTACAGGCACAATCAGCTTTCCTAACGGAAGCCTCAGATCCGTCGACAGCAGGATGGCTGTACAGCACGGTGTTGTTGCTTGCCGACTCACAGTGTGCTTAATCCGGAGAGGGAGCTGGTATGCTTAGACATCGCGGGGTCAAGAATATCCATTGGTTGGGATCCAAAATTGGTTCGACTACGTTTTTCGGCCTGTCAGCCTGACAGCGGGAGCGCTGACGGGGCGTGGGCCTTCTAGGGGCGGTGTATTCTGAGCGCTGCGCGTCCGAAAAGACAGTACAAGAGGGGGAAATTACTTCCTGCTCTTGTATGTGCTGATGAAACTGAAACACTTGGAAATGAAGCTGAGCGTGCGAAGCAGTGATGATGCTTGCTGAATCTGTGCGTGAATCCCAAATTAATGAGGCTGACGACCTTGCGCAGTATGAGCAACACTCTGTCACTGAAAGAGTACCTAGGCATGCGCCTGAGTATCGAGGACGGAAGTGTGGGTATCCGCGTCCTTTGATGGAGCGCGTTGCCTGGCAGTCGGCGGTGCGTAACGTTGGTCGCGTGCGAGTGGTCGTCAGCTTCCGCTTGACGCCTGGTGGGCCTTCAGTTTACTTGAGGCTGTCTAAAATTAGCCCCAGACTGACTCGCAATGCCAAACCATCTCTAAGAACAAACAAACGAGAACGAACACTAGTCAAAAGAGCAATCAAATTTCGCAATGCATGTAGATTTGTCATACGTTATGTCGGACGCTGAGCAATGTGCAAGCAAAAGTAGATGCATTCGAAAAATCATACGCTACGCTAAATTCACAATTGACACCAAGCTTGTCGCTCACAAACACCCTCAAACCAAGGAAAGAAACAACATAAGGTCGTCAAAATGGGCTCTAGTTACGTAAATCGTGATTCTGACACCTGTTCGGACTCAGACTCGACGTCCATCATGTTCTGCTCCTTCCAGAACGGGAGTTCATCCAGCGTAAAGCCATCATCACTGGGGATGGACGGCGGACCCTTCCAGTGTGGCACCGTTGTCCCTTCATCGGGTTCTTCAACTTCCGCGATATTATTGGTATTTGAAACGCCCCTATCTTCGAAGATGAGTGAGCCCCTTCTAGGCCCGCGAACGCGGCGTCGCAGGCGGCGAGCGTTCTGGTCCAAGTCGTCGAGAGGGTCGTTATCGGAGTAGTCGCTGTCTCCTTCGACGCTCTGGCTGTGGCTGCGCTTGAAGATGCCTGCACTCCATCGTTTCTTCTTTTTGAGATATATGCGCTCCCTTTCCTCGTCATCTGAGGAATCTTCTTGGAGTTGCAACTCATTCATTCTCGCGAATATTTCTGCTTTTGTGCCGCTTCGATCGCTTTTTGCGTCTTCGAAATGGTCTGGTCGCACAACCTCTACGTCACAGTCGTAGCCTGGATCGTCATCCAGTTCTTCGAGTACAAACTGGGCACTCTCTGTCCGGCGCATTGGCCTTTCATCTTCTTGTTCACATTCTTCATCCGACTCGTTGTCCTCGTCAAATTCGCTACCAGTGTCAGATCCTTCCAGAGTTGTTGCTGGGTAAGCACGGTCAGACTCTGACGATAGACGAGAAGATGGCTCGCATGACTGTGGCCGGGTGAAGCTGAAGTGATAGTCGTATCCGGTCGGTTCGATGTACTCCAATGGAGGTGTCTGCACGAAGTTGCTGGTGCGCCTGTGGACCGGAGAGGTTTTGTGTGTAGGGGGTGGGAAGCGACTATGTGTATCAGGAGTGGGCGTCATGGGCGGTGATTGCAGATGGCCGTTGAGCGCGGCGGCTGGCGGTTCGTGAGGCATTGCCATTGTCAGGAGGGCGTCGTGGTGGTTTGACGGGAATGTTGCGTCAGGCTTGCTTGCAGCCAATTGCGATCGCGTACGTATCGATGATCTCCTCTCGTGATTATGCTGATTTCTTAAGGAATCAAAGTCCGACAGACGTGTCTAATCTTTGAAATACGGAAGAGGAGTTGCGTCGACTGTATCATTCTGGAGGTGGTCCGGGAGTGTTTTACTGGGATATCTGAGCGGCGAGCTCGAGCGGAGAGGTGGAGAGTTTTGAGAAGGCGAACCCTGCAACGCCTTGGCTTATCGTGCAGGTGGAATTGGAGTACTATAGGCCGCAATGCAGGAAATGTAGCTCGCAGATCGGTAAAAGCCACAAAGTGCAGGTCAGTTCGGGTGCGACGCGTCAGTGGTAATCGAATGGGAGCACAAAAGAAGAAGAAGAGTACTGGAGGAGGTATGAATTCCCTGCAGCGTGAGAAATGTGTGCGGGCTGTCGCCAATTATCACCTGCGTTTCAGCAATGAGCTGGCCGGCCACGGAGCGGGTCTGCAGCATTGCTGCCCTTTCCATGTACAGCATCGCTTTCCATCCTTGACTCCGATGCTCGTGGTCGCGAACGATTAGTCGCAACAAAGACTCGGGCAATCTACCTTGCGTCAGGCTGGATGGATGCCCAATGAGGTCAGCGAGCAAAATTGTCCTGCACAGGGCGGGTAGGTAGTGTTGGCACTACGATGCCAGCTGGCACACGGAGTCGCATTGGTGAGTTCTGCGGGGCATCGTTGCAGGACGCCAGACCAGGGGAGCCGAGCCACGCAGCAGAGGCGAGATTGGGATGAAGCAACGTGAAAGAGTGAGGCTCTGCTTGCGGCAGCTAGTGTGGAAACTCGACGTTCGCTTGAAATTGAAACATGGACCCGACGCCTTCAGACGGAGTTGGAGCGATGTCTGGCAGATCTCACGTGACTGTGGTGGGGAAACCGCGCTAGGGACCAAGACGGCTAGGCTGTTGATCGGAATGTTGCGTGGCATATCGAACATTAGCAACAGCAGCTCAAGGAGGCAGCAGTACCAAACATAATAGTCAACACCGTGTTTCTTTCTCTTTGCCGTATACCCGTATCCCCCCGCGCTTGCTGTCTCTTGCATTGAGGTCACCATAGACGACAGTGAAGCTGCGGCTTCGTCTCCAATTCCGCCATGTCTTCCTCTCCCTCAATGTTGACCAAGGCACGCAGCTCCCGGCCCATGCGACCGTATAGCTAGCTAATTGAGCGCAGTTTGAGTCCAAGTCCTCGCGTGCGAAGGGCATTGCCTTCCATCCCAAGAGGTACCTTCACCTGCTCCGCCTCACTCCCCTCCCCGCTGACCGCTTTCAGGCCATGGATCCTCGTGTCGCTACACTCGTCGACTATCCAACTATGGGACTACCGCATGGGCACACTTATAGACCGCTTCGAAGAACACGATGGGCCGGTCCGCGGCGTCGACTTCCACAAGACGCAGCCATTGTGAGCATTCCTCGGACAAGTGAGGAGGGCCAACAACATACTAAGACTGGGCAGGTTCGTGTCTGGCGGTGACGACTACAAGATCAAGGTCTGGTCGTACCAGACTCGGCGATGTCTCTTCACATTGAACGGCCACTTGGACTATGTCCGGACCGTCTTCTTCCACCACGAGCTCCCGTGGATAGTGAGCAGCTCCGACGACCGTAAGCGCATGCAGTGGGTCGGCAGGACAATGGCTGACACAGAACAGAGACCATTCGTATATGGAATTGGCAGAACCGTAAGTGCTACCCTCAGCCACCTCATTCGGAACAAAGCTAACATTGACAGGCTCGTTGAGTAAGTCACATCGCAAACCCTCGTAGAAACACGCCTAACCCTTCGAAGTATGTACCATGACTGGCCACAACCACTACACCATGTGTGCGCAATTCCATCCTAAGGAAGACCTCATCGTTTCCGCCTCGCTCGATCAGTCGGTTCGTGTCTGGGATATCTCTGGGCTCCGGAAGAAGCACTCTGCACCACAAGCCATGTCCTTTGAGGATCAGATGGCACGCGCGAACCAAAACCAGGCGGATATGTTTGGGAACACGGACGCGGTCGTCAAGTTTGTTCTTGAAGGCCATGACCGAGGTGTGAACTGGGTCGCATTCCACCCTACACTACCATTGATCGTTTCCGCTGGTGATGATCGCCTCGTGAAGCTGTGGAGGATGTCAGAGACAAAGGCATGGGAAGTTGATACCTGCCGAGGGCACTTCCAGAACGCGTCTGCGTGTCTGTTCCACCCCCATCAAGATTTGATACTGTCTGTTGGAGAGGACAAGACGATTCGTGTATGGGATCTCAACCGACGAACCTCTGTCCAGTCTTTCAAGCGGGAAAACGACCGCTTCTGGGTCATCGCGGCGCATCCCGAGATCAACCTGTTCGCTGCCGGTCACGACAATGGTGTGATGGTATTCAAGCTGGAACGTGAGCGACCCGCATCCGCCGTCTACCAGAACAACCTCTTCTACATAACCAAGGAGAAGCATGTCCGGTCTTATGACTTCCAGAAGAACATCGAGTCCCCATCGATGCTGTCTCTTAAGAAGCTTGGAAGCGCTTGGGTACCTCCACGAACGCTGTCCTACAACCCTGCCGAACGCTCCATTCTCGTCACTTCTCCAGCCGACAGTGGAACATATGAGCTGATCAGCCTTCCACGCGACGCATCAGGAGCAGTGGAACCGACAGATACCAAGCGGGGCTCCGGTAACTCTGCTGTCTTCGTGGCTAGGAACCGATTTGCCGTCTTTAACCAGTCGAACCAACAGATTGACATCAAGGATCTCAGTAACTCGACTACCAAGACCATCAAGCCCCCGCACGGAACCACCGACATCTACTTCGGCGGCACTGGCAATCTGCTCTTGATCACCCCTACCTCGGTTGTACTCTACGACATTCAGGCCAAGAAGAACCTTGCTGAGCTTTCTGTCAATGGCGTCAAGTACGTCGTATGGTCGTCCGATGGACTGCACGTCGCATTGCTGAGCAAACACAACGTCACGATCGCGACAAAGAACCTGGAGCAAGTCAGCACTCTCCACGAGACAATCCGCATCAAGAGCGCAATTTTCGACGACACTGGTGTCCTTCTCTACTCTACACTGAATCACATCAAGTACAGTCTGATGAACGGCGACAATGGAATTGTACGCACGCTCGAGCAGACAGTATATCTGGTGAGGGTTAAGGGCCGCAACGTGTACTGTCTTGACCGTGCTGCGAAACCGAAGATCCTCCAGATCGACCCCACCGAGTACCGATTCAAGCTTGCCCTGGTCAAGCGCAACTATGATGAGATGCTCAACATCATCAAGACTTCCAGTTTGGTTGGACAGAGCATCATTTCTTATCTCCAGAAGAAGGGCTATCCCGAGATTGCTCTTCAGTTCGTGCAAGATCCTCAGACGCGGTTCGAGCTCGCTATCGAGTGCGGAAACCTGGAGGTGGCAGTCGAGATGGCCAAGCAGCTTGACCGACCGAAGCTCTGGCAACGATTGAGCAACGAAGCTCTCGCGCATGGTAACCACCAAACTGTGGAGATGACTTACCAAAAACTGCGCAATTTCGACAAGCTATCCTTCCTGTACCTCACCACTGGAGACCAGGACAAATTGAAGCGTATGGCTAAAATTGCAGAGCACCGTGGTGACATGACGGCAAGATTCCAGAATGCTCTCTACCTAGGAGACGTTCAGAACCGGATAGAAATGTTCCAGGAGCTTGACCTGTACCCCCTTGCGTATGCCACAGCCAAAGCTCAAGGTCTTGACGAGCAAGCACAGTCGATACTGGAAGCTGCCGGAGTTTCAGAAGAGCAGATCAAGCTTCCCTCAATAGGTGCACCTCTTGCGCCTCCCAAGCCTATCGTACCTACGCACAAGACGAACTGGCCAACGCGCGCAGCGTCTTCGACTGTGTTCGAGAAGGCTCTCCAAGGCGAGGTCGAAGGCGTTGGATCCGATGAGCCAACAGCGAACGGCTTCGGCGACGAAGATCTTCTGGGCGATGCTGAGCCCACTAGTGCCGCGGCTGAGCTTGCAGGTGACGAAGATGACGATGTTGGTGGGTGGGACATGGGTGATGACGGAGACGTGGAGGCAGAGGATGATTTCGTTGAAGTTGAGGGAGCTGAAGCAGGAGCCGGAAGCAGCGAAGCAGACTTCTGGGCACGCAACTCACCTTTGGCAGCCGACCACATTGCTGCAGGTTCGTTCGATACTGCTATGCAGTTACTAAACCGACAAGTCGGTGCTGTCAACTTCGAGCCTCTCCAGGAGCGCTTCCAGGAGATCTACCAAGCGACACGGACATACCTGCCAGCAACGCCAAACATGCCCTCGCTGGTCAACTACGTACGGAGAACAGTAGACGAGACAGACTCGCGCAAGATTCTGCCCATTATTCCACGCGACCTGGAGTCGATATTGTCGACCGACCTCACCGCTGGCAAGCAGGCTCTCAAAGAGAACAAATTGGAGGCAGGTATTGCTGCTTTCAGGAAGCTGCTACAGCTCATCATGGTCAACGTCGTCTCGTCGCAAGCAGAGTTGTCTGACGTAAGTTCTGCCATTGTGCATTCAGTCGACGTATACTGACATCATCTAGGCTAAGAAGGCAATCAACACGGCCACGCAATACATACTTGCCATGTCTATCGAGCTCGAAAGGCGCAAGCTTCTCAATGGTGCTACCGACGTCTCCGCCCTATCTGATGCCGACAAGAAACGCGCTCTCGAGTTGTCTGCTTACTTCACCATTCCCGAGCTTGAGGGTCCTCACAAGTCGATCCCGCTTTCTGCAGCCATGAACTTCGCCCACAAGAACAAGCAGCTTAACACAGCGCTGAACTTCGCCAACGCATTGCTTGACCGCACCGGAAACGCAAAAATGAAGGAGGCGGCTAAGCGCGTCAAGACGATTGCTGAGAGGAATCCCAGCGACATCATCGAGATTGACTTTGACCAATTCGCCGACTTTGACATTTGCGCTGCCAGCTTCACCCCCATCTACAGCGGTATGCCATCGGTTACTAGCCCGTACAGCGGCGCCAGGTACCACGCGAGGTACAAGGGTACTGTGTGCAGGATCGACGGCATCACCCAGATTGGTGCTCCTGCTAGTGGACTGAGGTTGGTAGGTTAGAGATTGG